AATTGTTGTGAGAGGTATTAAACCACCTCTCTCTTTTATAATCTGGTCATAGCTGCTGTAAATTGTAATATCTGATTTAGGTGAATTAATTTCTCTATAAAACTCCTTTTATGAAAACAAATAATTTAAATGATTTCGCTTATTATAGAAACAAATTCTATGGATTTATGTACCGCAACTCATCCGTTAGTATAAATTATTTGTTTTTAATCTATATAAAAATATTCGTGTATAACAGAATATGTTATTTCAAATAATTTGTATTTGAAAAAATAATATATAACCCGATTATACAAGTGTATTATCAGTAAAAATTCTGATATCACGGTAATGTTACATGGTGAAAATGAGAATTTGAACGACTCGTTCAGGAAAACCATAGGAGGGAGTAATTAATAAGAACCGTGACCGATCGTAAGAAATTAACGAAAGAACGAGTTATATGAACGGGTCATTTGAACGATCCGGATCGTTCGATTGACCCGAAATTCCCATCACTAGTTGGCTCTATCTTATTGATTAGACAGAATTTTTACACCGGCTGTCGACCTGACACAATCTCATTGGCTGAGGGTATCAGCAATATTATTATATCCTTAAAAAATATTACTTTAAAACTATTAATTTAATCTTACAGTTTATAAGTTATTCATACAGCTTTAAATTATCAGTAATGAGTAAAAATTCAAATTTTAAATATTTTTCACTTTATTGATTTTTAAAAATAAAGTTTAAATGTGCTTAAACTTCATATGTCATGGCAAATTAAAAAAATATGTTATTCAACTTTTTAGTTATGATTAGAATAGTTTTAATGTGAGGTATTGATCAGAAGAATTGTATATAATGAGCAGATATAATGATTTTTATTTACATAAACGTCTACATGGATGTCTCAATAGTTATTCAAAATAAAGTTTTTCTCCCGAAGTAAGAGACCTAAAAAATTGAATAGTAGCTTATTACAAAGAGCTTGTTAAGTAGATGTAAAATACAATTATATAAAAGTAAAAATAAATTTTAATTTAATTTTTTATTAATAAGTAAATTTGTATTTTCTTTTTGTTAAGCAAAATTATTTTTGAAAATAAACAAAAAATACTTGTTTAAAAAAATTAAAATTTATATAAATATAACAAACATTTTTGTAATTAAAAAAATTGCAATATTTAACATAAGATTTATTTACAGTATATAAAAAATACAACAGATTTGTATGCAAATAACAATTTTAACAGGGTATTAAATATATACCTAGTCATTATAAAAAATATCCATAAACAATAATTAAAGTCAATAAATAACTGACTAACTAAAAAAGAATTTAAGCTGGGTTACATCCATTGTTATGTAAAATAAATAAATGAATATAAGATGAGCAATGAATTCCAGTTTAAAATATATTTAACATTAATATATAAAAAGTAGTAAAATTATCACTTATAATTTGAAAGCTCCAGTTCTTTAAAAAGATGACGACAATATTGACTTCCTATTGAAATTGGATGATCACATTTTAATAATATCTTAGATTCATTTTCTGACAAATTTTCAAATGCAATCAAGTATTCTTGATCAAATGCACCTGAAAAAAAAATTTCAAATTTATAGATTATATAAAATAAAAGTCTAATGAGCTCCTGCTTGAATTTAATTTAAATATTTATTTATTTAATTTACTCAGAAAATTTAGAATAAGTTAAAAAAAATGTAAAAATTACATGGATTTTTTAAATAATTTTTAGTTCTAAAAACAAATATTTTATGTAAAATTTTCAAATTGAAAATAATTTTTGAAAGAAGTTAATAAATTGATGACTATACTTACTAATATCAATGTTTTCACGACCAATAGCAGTAATAGTTAAAAATAGAATATCTCTATATAATGAATGACTATGGGATAAATCGTTTCCTCTTAATTTATTCCTTTCAAAAGCTAATTTTTTCAATGGATCAGTCAAATTATTTCGACGAATACTAGCTATTACTTTTGTCATTAGACTGAAAATTTGAAATATTTTTAAATAATGATATTTTAATGATTAGTTTAATATTTAAAAAAATATTTTATTTTTTGAAATTTGACAGTATTAAGAAAAAATGTTCAATACAGTCGGAATTCAATGTAGTAGAGACATATTTTTGTTAAGTATTAATTGATTTGACAGTGATTAAAATTATTGTAGTAAAATACTTTGATGCATGTTATAAATGCATTAAAAAACTTAAAATGATTATACACAATTAAAAATTATATATATGATAAATATACACAAAATAAACTTATTTTGCATATTTTATTCTTTGACTATTAACAGCTTTAATCAGCAATCTAAATAACATTTATATATAGTAGTTAATTCTTGAATGTAAATTATACATAGTAATAGTTATATTATATTATATCAAGTATTACAAGTTTTATTCTTTCCATTAAAACACAAGTATATTCTTATATCATATACTAGAGCGTATATACAAATTTTTTATTTTAAATATTTGTATATTGATATTAAATTTTCTGTACTTATGAAACAATATAGTTTCTAAGAAAAATAAATGGTATTTATTATTTTATTTATTTTCTCTAAGTTTCTTTTACTTAAAAATGAGATTTATAAAGGATTTTTTCTTACTTTTTTGGAATAGTATTTCGATCTGTAACCAATGCACTAATCAAACAACTCTCTTTTGTTTCTTCATTAGACCAAAATGAATACATTGGTAGCCCAATATCATCATACAATTTAGGGTTATCCCAGAGATTTATAATTAATACATTTGAAGAATCACAGGAGGACCAAATTGAATGGAAAGTTGTAATATCTCTATCACCAAGGATACTAGCTGCATTAAGACATAGGCCTGAAATGTGTGATGGTACATCAATCCTTTCGAAAATCCAAACCTAATCAAAAGAATATATAAAACAAAGAATAATTGAATATTATCATATTTATACTAATTTTACAACTCACTAAATTCCAATATATAATAGGATGCTCGTCAACAAATTTATAATGTGTTAATGATACATCACCTTCAGCAGCCAAAATGGATTCAAGTTCTTTGCGTAATACAAGAGGATTTAAATAAGGAACTGTGATCGTATCTGTTCTGTAACAATTTTTTGATGTTCCTAAAAGAATGTTTTTTTTTAAATTCCTTTATTAATGAGTTTTTACATTTTTACTAAATACTGGGTATGTATGTTATATTGTAAAAATAATTAAAATATTTTTAATTTTGAGTATACCTTTTTCTTTAACATTATCTGTAAGTAAATTAAAATTTGATATTTTATTTTGATCATCAATTTCATTTAAATAAACATCTTTTGATCGATAATCAATAATATCGATAGTTAAAAAAGGTACCACATCTTTATTACACAATCTACATCTATAATAAAAAATAATAAACATAGAATATTTGTTTATTAGTAAAATTAGTTAATAATTATTAAATTATTTAAAAAATACTTTGTATTTAAATTTGAATCATCAGGAACCCAACCAGACATTATTTCTTCATCAAATAGTAAACAGCCACAGTTATGACATTTTGAACATGTAGTCATAATGATTTCTAAAGCTACTAACTCAGTAGTACGAATAGAACGTTGGTATAATTTTTCTTGAAATAGACTTAATTCAGAAAAATCTAAGGTGTCAAAACCTGTAAAATTTGTACAACTTTAGTATATTCATTAAGAACTTTTTATTTTTACATTCGAAAAATTGGTTGAAAAAATATACAATTTTACTAATTGAAGTACTTAATGCAACAACCAGATAAATCTAGATTTTTTGTTAATTTTGAATGAATAAAACAATTTTAATATTACTATTATTTGTGGAAATACTTAATTTAAAAAAAAAAACATTTTACCAGTTTTTAATGAAAATTTTTTTATAAATTGCTTCTACAAATTTTTTTTTTAAAATAAACTTACCTGGTTGTTGTATTGTGATCTTCAATTAGCATTTATATAAAATATAACAAAATAACACAATTTATAGAATATAAAGTATACAGTATAACCATGACTCAAAATAGAGTTGATAAAGAGTTAAATCAACCATTCTTATAAGGTTTACCTGAATTTATATTACAAGAACCACTTTTTTTGTGGCCATCAGTAAAAAGTTCAATTAAATTAGTACTCCAAGAATCAAAATGTTGAGCAACTGCTAATGAAGATATTTCACTTGATATTTTTCGCCTAACACTTGGTTCATTAAACTGATGATCAACATCATCTATCCATTTATCCTCATCTTTTGAGCATCTGTATTCAAATTATAAAAAAAATTTGCTACATTAATCATTAATTTTATAATTTAAATTATTAAATAAAAAATCTTTATTATAAAATTAAAAAAAATAATTTTACTAACATAAATGAATAACAAATGGAAGATTAGTATTACTTACTGAATGTAATCTTTTATTGGTGTATTATTTGTAGATATCGCTTCTTTTATTTCATCAAATTTTTTAACAACTGTATTTGCAGCACTTTTTAAGCTAGTTAATCCACCCATAAGAATTTCATTTGATTTTTTACCAGAAAAACTAGAAGGACTGAAAAAAATAAAATATACATTTAAAATGTAATAAATGTATTATAATTTTAGAAACAATGAAAAATTAATGATTAATTTTTATTAAATAATAATAATAATAAATACCTGAAGTTGTTAATTGCATTTTCAATCATATTGGTACTCAATCGAAAGTCAGACTTTCGTGGTAATGAAAATTTTGATGAAGTATATTGACTAAATAAAAATAAAACCTACTTCAATACTACAAAACACAAATCTAATAATAATAATAATAAAAAAAAAAAAAAACAATGTCGTCTTTTAATAAATAAGAAGCACACAAAAATACTAACCTGTTTGATGCTCTTGATTATTACATTTAATCATAGTTAATTTTTATTTTTTTTACCCACAGAGGAATCCGCAAGGATTATGGGCCTAACAACCCCGTGGACCCTAGTTAATTCAGTGGTGGTGGAGGCAATACGTACCACTGTTCTTAGGCAGTCATAACTTTGATTTGTTGGGACCGGTAAGCCTGGACACACCTGCTTGCTAACAGCAAATAGGCCTCCCTAACCCAGTCATACCAAGTGAAAGGGTTGCTAACTTGTCACAGGGTAGTTAGCCGAAAGGTAATTGACCATTGGGATCCTCTATGGCACCTGGCGCACCATAGAGTATACAGCCTTATCATAGTATCGAGCTCTGCTGTGATGAACTTTTATTTCTCCACTACTCGTAGGAACTATATGGATAAAAACTATAAACACCACAAAATAAGGAACTTGGGACGAACAGGGATCCTACGGACAACCTGTCGGAACAAGAGTGTGAACTGGCGACTTTTCGTAGAAGAATCGCTGAACTTGAAGGTCTTAATGCGAACAACGGGACACTTGATGAATCATCTACTAGCAAAGAGACAGCAACGTCAACAAATGCAGACGAAGAAACACAAGATCAATTGGGACAGTAGCTGACAAAATCGAGGGTCTATAACTTAAACCTGAGAAACTGAGCGGCTGTAAGAGACGCAAGTTAAAGAGGAGATGGGCAATCATGGAGAGGCAGAAGAACCTACCATAAGAAGGAGACAAGGGAACCAATGACTTGAAAAAGTCAAATGGAACCGAAGCTCAAAAACCTGAGAACAAGGGGCAAGATCTCCATATAAGAAAACTCATTGGATACCGACCTATAGGAATGTGGTAATAGATGATAAAAAAGTGGCTCTGGTCTTTGTAGGCTACCCCACTAACAAGTTGACTACAGAGCAGGGCTACTCATTGAATCTTGTGTTGGAGACTTGACACTGTTGGATACTGATGGAACCGACTTACCATAGTTTAAAGACACCAGACTCATTGATGGAAAACATATGATCAAAGTACTGAAAAGGAATAAAGGGAAGGAACTACAAATCTGCATTGAAAAAGTCCAAAAGAGAAAGCTGGAAGAAGTTCTGTGAGGACATACAACAACTTCCTATAGCAGGGCTTCCCAAACTTTTTTTTGCTGTGCCGCCCTTGGGGATGGGCCATTTTTTTGCGACGCCCCCAGTGATGAAAACTGCCTACCATGCCTAGTTGTAGTTCTAGACAAGTAACAAGTTATCAGAAAAAACTCCGAATACATTTTATATTTTTTTATTAATAACAAAATAAAAACATAGCCGAAACTAATGGGACGGATGTGCTTGCTTTTCTGAGCATAGCTTTTCAAAACGGGGCTCAAGATTGGAAATAGCTACTCGCATTTCTTTCTCGACATTAATTTTCGATCTGTACTTATTTTTAATTACTGCAACTGCAGAAAAGCCTGTTTCGCACAAGTACGATGTCGCAAAGGGTAGCAGAACCTTCAATGCCGCAGTGCTGATGGCACGATATTCATGAGAAACTGAGCTCCAGAATTCGAGCAGTTTGTCTTTGTCGTATTGGAGCTTAAGACTGGAGTCACAGGACAGTTCAATCAGTTGTTCTTCCTCCGCTGTGGAAAGTGTTGATGGTGGTGTCGACTGAAAAGGGTTCCTAACCCAGTCATATTGCTCCAGATTTTCAGGAAAATATTTGGCAAAATGTTCATTTAATGATGACAAGTGCTGTGTAAATATTATTTTTATGGAGGGATCGAGGGTCTCTATCGATTTTTCATGTAGAATGCCTTGTAAAGCAGGGAAACAGTCAGTATTTACTTGACCTTCTTCTAATTTTCTCTTCCATAACAGCAACTTCTTTCGAAATCCAGTAATTTTATCTGCCAGTTGCAGTATGTGAGTATTGTTTCCCTGCAAGGACTTATTAAGCTCATTTAATTTTTGAAAAATGTCGCAGAGATATGCCAATTTTATTAGAAAATCAGTATTAATAAAACTTTGTGCATCATTGTGTGATTCGGTCTGTAGATAAGTGTAAAACTCATTTCGTAGTTCGTGCACACGTGCGAGTACATTGCCTTTGGACAACCAGCGAGAGTTGCAATAATAAATTAAAGAGGTGTGCTGGGCACCCAATTCTTCACAAAGCTTATGAAAAAACCTTGCTTTCACAGGTCGTGTTTTAATGTAGTTCACCACTTTGATAACTATGTCCATCACAGCACTTAATTCAGGTGAAATGTTCTTTGCAGCCAAGGCCTCTCTGTGTATGACGCAATGTGTCCATTTTACATTTGGAGCCTTGGTTTTGATGAGAGCTTGTAGTCCTCCATACTGTCCAGACATCGCTCGAGCACCATCCGTACACACACCCACACAGTTCTCCCATTTAATATTATTTTCGGCCATGTAAGAATCCAAAATCTTAAATAGATCAATAGCCTTACCACTATCATATATTTTTCTGCAAAATAACAAATCCTCACATACATTTATTTCTTGTATGTACCGCACGTAACATATCAATTGAGCATCGTCATTACTATCGGTCGCCTCATCCAGTTGAATGGCAAATGAACATGAAAGTTTTTCCACAATTTGCTCATTAATATCTTCTGCCATGTCATGAATACGGCGGCTAATAGTATTGTTTGAAAGCGGTATATTTTTTATTTCTTTAGCCGCCGATTCTCCAATCATCACTGACACCATATCAACCGCAGCAGGTAAAATCAGTTCCTCAGCAATCGTGTGAGGTTTCTTACACTTGGCGACACGGTGAGCTACCTTGTAGGAGGCGAGCAATGCTTTGGAAGGAACTGACGCTCTTGAAAGCAAAGCCGTGGACTGATGTTTCAGGTCTCGCAATTTTCTAACAAAAAAGTCTTTCGGCTTACCTTGCAAATGACTGTGAGTTGTTTCCAAATGACGTTTTAGTTTATTAGGAAGCATACTTTCAGCTGCCAACACTTTATGACAAACAACACATTGAGGAAGTTCTTCATTTCCTTTAGTAATGTATGTAAACCCAAAATCTAAATATTGGTCGTCATATTTTCTATATTTCTTTCGTTTATCTGTTGTTTCTTTACTGCTTTCTCCTGAGCTTTCATTTCGTTTTCTATCTCTCTGAATATAATTATCCATAATGATAGGTACTCAATATCAAACGTCCGCGTGCGTAATTAAACAAAACAAAACCTCGACTGAACGAACGACATGAACGCACGGGGAATGGGGAACGGGCGGGGGATGTCAACGGCCAGCCCCGCGCGCCGAACGTCGACACCGACAGACTGCGCGCGGCGCTCACTGGAGATGGTCGCGTCGATACAAACTACCAAATGCGGTTCGCCTCGCGACGCCCTTGGGTTAGTGCCGCGACGCCCCAGGGCGTCGCGACGCACAGTTAGGGAAGCCCTGTCCTATAGCAACTAGACTAGGCAATACTACTGCCAAACGGCATGTTCACCAATAACGATAATGAAACATTATCACATTTGATGAACACACATATTCCTGACTCTGTAATTAACAACCAAGAACAGTCACATGACACACAGGACAAACGAGCAATCTGTGCTGATTGGAAACTTATCAGGAAAATGATAACCCCAAGTGGATTAAAATGGGCAATAAAATCCCAAGGCAGTTTCAAAGCTGCAGGCTGTGACGAAATTTTCGGTGTTTATACCCAAACCTAACCAGACTAACTATTATGAAGCAAAATCCTACAGGCTAATAAGTCTTACTTCATTTCTTCTTAAGACTATAGAGAAACTTATTAATAGGTACATCAAGGAGGTGCCTCTAAAGGAGAACCCTTTACATGAAAACCAAAAAACATGGGGTCTTAAACCAAGAGTTATGTATTGGTTGTACCCTTTAGTGATTAAACCTATGATATTGTACGGTGCCCTAGGCTGATGGACCAGAACAGCACTCGTTACAGCTAGGAAAGAACTTAGTCGCATACAGAGAATGGCTGCCATAGCCATCACTGGAACATTAAGAACTACACCAATGGTCGCATTAGAGGCACTAATCAGATTGCCTCCTCTGCATCTAGAGGTTAAAGCTCACACCAAAGCCACAGCACTAAGATCCACAACTTAGGTACTTGGACTTTGGAGTATGACACAGCAGAACACGGTAAAAATAATAAAAGAGACAGGCCAGGGCTTTTTGGAATACCCCTTGGACTATAACAAACCGGTTGTTAAGAATAACATTCCCTACATAGTGGAAATCACTACATGAAGAGAATGGAATATTAACCACCTGACTGAGAAAGGAGAATTTGTAATATATACAGAAGGATCCAAAAAATCAGGAAAGGTAAGTGCTGGCATTTGATATGCCAGAATTTTTTTCTGCTTCATATAGCTTCAAGTTGATGAAATATTTTCCTTCCCCATAAATTTATTCCTCATTGATATTATTAGAATTAATAAACCTACAAGACATATGAAGTTCATCATAACACACTGTATTGATTTTTCTTGAAATTTTAGTGAAAAAGTTAATATTACTCAAATCTTATAGATACACATTGACACAAGGCTTATTAATTAATCAGTAGAAAAGTTTAAAATCATATCAATAAATAAACTCATGTGTATTGATATTGATATCTGACAGGTTTTTCTATCAAGGCTACAAGAAAATAATAAAAAAATTTCACTGTGAATGGATATGTATGGATTGTAAACATTTTAGAATAGATGTTTAGAGTAAATATGACAATGTTTATTTTTGTATTTTTAAAAACAGCTGTATTAGTTAGGCAAGATTTAATAATATTAAAATTTATGTTTAACATTCAATTGTATATAAAAAATTGTGTTAACAAAATATATTTTTTTAATTAAAACAATTAAAAAATTATATTAATTAATGTTACTTTTAGGTTTAATAATTTTGAAGTTTAATAAATCCTTAATTATTTGTTAACTAGAGAAGTTACCCTATACAGAATGACCAGTTATCATAAACTACTTGATTACTCACAGAATACATTCAATATTGAAAAAAAAACATTGATTTCTTTTAGTTGCATACATTTCTTGATTTATCAACTAATAATTACTGTTTAGAATCTTTCCATACATCTTAAAGGGGTGTTAATTTTTTTTTTTTTTAATGAAAACATATATATTTAACTAAATATAGCACAAAAATTTGTCTAAATTTTTGTTTTAAGGAAAATATTTACAAAAATGAGTATTATTGAAAAAAATTTATTTTTATTTTTTTTCTTGTATTTTAAAATTTTTATAACTTATTGAAAAATCTACTGAAATTATATAAATAACAGTATAGACATTAAGCTCTTTTGATAAAATATTTTTGAAAATTCAACTAAAACTTTAAGTACAGGAAAAGTTTGAATGAAACCATCACCTATATCAATAAAAATTTTTTTAACAATTTTCCAAAATGTTCTGAAACAGATTTTGACTAATATAATATTAAAGATTTTAAATAGAAATATGTTCCAAAAAAATAAAAGTAAAATAATCAGTAGTTCGAATAAAATTAAAAAATGCACAATTTTTTTTGGTTGAATTAACCTAAATAAAAATTAACCCATTTGCCTCAAATCATTTGATGGTAGTAATGAAAATCATAATCAGTTATTAATATATAAAAATATATTGTCTCAAATGTACTGGGTTTTTATTTTTAAGTTTGTCAAATAAAAATAAAATACTCATAAGTATTGGCTTTATAAAATTTTATTTGAACCAGGAACAAGCTATTATTTTTTCAACTTAGGCCAAAAATTAAATTTTAAAAGAACCAATTTGTAAACAAAAGAAGAATTTTATTTTAAAATTTATAATTATTTTTCATATGAAAAATAATTATTATATTTAATTAGTAAACAAAAATTGTATATTAAAAAGTCAATCAACACTTAAAAGTTAAAAATAGTGGTTAACTTTTGATTAATAATTAAATATTAAAAGAAAAAAAATATTTAAAAAAAACTTAGTTAAACATTTCTTAACCAAAACCAATTTTTCTAGCAATATATTTACTGGAATCTTATCTGTTATTTTGTTAATACAATTTTCAAAAAATAACTCAAATCTTTTGACATTAAGTTAGTTGATTGTACAAAAATTAATTATTAAAACATATTACTTACGAAAAAGGTATTTTAAAAGCTGATCCCAGTGAAATTTTAATTGGACTTTGTTGATGTTCTGGTTCTTTAATACTATGAGCTGGCATAGTGGACGATCTTTGCATATGATTGTCAATATTTCCTACATTATCACTAAAAGTAGCACTTCTGTGAATACTTCCCCATTCGCGAAATAATATAGGTGATCCACTGCGGTCAAGTTCTATACCTGACTGTACTCTAGGAATACTAATAGGAGTCACTAAAGGACAAAGAGTTGGTGTTAATGGTTCTTGCAATGCTCCTAGAGGATCATTTTCCAACACTGGAGTACACAGTGCTGCCTCTGGAAATCTATTACAAGTGTTTTCTTCTGAAAGATTTTCTAAAGAAGAATCAAATGATTTTACACTATTATCAAAGACTAATTTTTTTGATATTCCATTAGTTTTTTTAAAATCAGTTTGATATTTTAAATCATTAAGATTTTTTAGTATTTGAGCATCATTACCAAAACTTTTTGAGCTGTAATATTTTTAAATTAAAGTATATAATTAAATATATAACTTAAGAAGAATAGTGTGCCTTACCGTTTTAATAATTTGAGTAGTTCTGATGATGTATCATTAGATGTGTTAATTAACGGTTGATGATAATGATGTCTTCTAGGTGATATTTGAAGTCTAATTTCATCTGTTAAAGACCCACTACGGCCTCTGAAAATATTTATTAAATCTATTTTCTAAACTATCAAAATATAAATAGAACAACCATTTTTGATGTTTTACCGAAAATTTACCAATGGTTTTATAAGTTTTACCAATAGTTATAAAGTTACCCAAGATTTAATCTATCTAATGAAGAGAGAAAAGAAAAAATCTATTCATTACGTCACTCATATTTAGTTTCAAAATAAATTTAACAAATTAATGATTACCAACAAATATATTTTTAACTTACCTCATAAGCTATTTTTTTAATACAAACTACAAGTTTTTAATAATGTAAAATCAACTAAATAAGTCTATATATACATTTCAAAATTTACCTGTTCATAATAAAATTTATGTTTAATTACTACAGCTATAAAATTTAATAAATACCTTTTCAAATCTGTTTCACTTTCTACAGAAACAGAATCACTATTTGGTTTTGAACTAGCTGAACTTGGTCTTGAGCATGTAGTAGTCATCAAAAGACCAGCACTACTTTCAACTGAAAGAAATTACACATACAAAACTAAAATAATTATACCTAGTGAATTAAAGGTAAAGCTATAAAAATAATAATAAATGCATAACTTACATTGTTGTGAGCTCCAGGACTGGTCATCTTCAGGAGATAAAGAATTTTGTTTAACTATACTGATTGGACGTGCTCTTAACCCATAATTTGATTCAACATTTATTGATAGCTTTCTAGGTGCTAAATACATACAATATTTATTATAGTATTAATAATAAATGAAAGTTAAGATACTTTATGTATAATTAACTAGAAAACTATATGGATGCATTCAAGTTTTTAAAATAAGCATAAATCAGTGAAAAATTAATTATATAAAGTTTACATTTTTCAATAGAAAAAAAGTGAAGTGATCCTTTCACAAAAATTTATTTTTAAGTCCGATTGCCCTTATAATGAAAAATATATAAAAGAAAAAAAGCGGAAAGCAAAGAGCAAATTCAAAGAAAGTTCTATTATAATATATTAAATAATTTAAACAAACTATTTGAAACTGAAGATTGCTTTTCAGCTGTTAACAAACTTTCTTCAGATGTATGTGATGTCTTTTCGTCCTCAGTAGAACTTCGTCTTTTTCTGTTTTGTAATCCAGCTTGTTTAAATAAAGCTGTACATATCACAACATTCCTGAAATAATATACTAAATATTAACTAATGAAACTACGATTTTACAATATTAAAATATTTTGTAAAATTTACTTATTTTTAGATGTAAATCATATAAATTTTATTCCTAAATTAGAGCTTAAAAATAAAATGAGAGTACTATCATATTAAGTTACTGATGAAACAGGTCTGGTAAGAATGAAAAATTCTGTGGCGTTTTACATTTTTCCAAAAGTTACGATTGTATACTTATTTCTTATGGCCTGAACACCACAGAAATATTTAACTTCATTATTATACTAAAGAAATTATCTTATAGATTATTTTAAGTAGTTCAAAATATTAAATTTTGAAAACATTTTAACTTTAAAGAAATTTTTTGTCTGATCTAAATTAAATTTAAATAATAATGCCAAAATGCAAAATTATATAATAAAAAAAATAAAGTTCTCGTAATTTTCTTAAAATGAATTAATGTACAATACATTAATTTACAAACTTGATAATCTTATACTAAGATATCATGAAGTTTAATTTTTTACATAAATTACCGAAGTTTATTCCAAAGTAATTGACTATGTGTTCTTAAATCAGAGGGCCATGTCGATTCTAATAATGCTCTATTATAAAAACCATAAGTAATTGCATTTGGATGCAAACCACATCGCTTCATAACAAGTAAAAGCTTCACAGCTAACATAGGTTGATTGTAAATGCCACAAAGTTGCATCATTACCCTATAGCACACCTGAGAATGAAATAAGTTGTCTTAAATAAAATGCCTTTTAAAATTTTTTAGTAAATTTATAGTAGTACTTCATCAGTTAATCGTTGAACCCCATTTTTTTGAAATTTATTCAATAAGTCATATGCTAAACGTAAAATTGATGCAGCACGGTCTTCTGATTGTAAAATATGACTTGGTAAATGTATAAACCATAAACTAAACAAAAATTATTGTTGTTACTACGCTATTTATGGACAATTTTTTTAAAATCTTATACATACAAAATAGTTATAAAGGAGATTTTCAAGTAAAAAAAAAAAAAAACATGTAATTATTTAAAGGGCTGGAACTTTATAATTTTTGGAGGAATATTGAATAAAATTTTTTAATTTATTGCTTCTCACAATATTACAAACTATATTAATTAATGCAGTTAGGGGAAAGAGGATATAAATTTCATGGTTTCATAAAATTTGCTCCTGGTTATTTAGAAAATAAATTAAAATAGTATTTCCATTAAGTGACTATTTTATAGAAGTTTGCAAGAAAATTAATATAGTACATATTTTAACAACTAAGCATATAAAGAAATTTGTTTAGATTTTATGATTCTTTAAAAAAAAAAATGGTAACACAGTGGAGTCACGGCACAGTATGGACGTGGGATAGTTGGGATAAGTATAGATGATAACTGACAGTACTAAAATCACTATCATAAGAAACGCTTTGATGGAAATATGTAGATGGTGTTTAATTCTAAGAAATTGGTGGATAATTACAAAATCAAAATGAATTTCTATTTCTTTATATATATATATATATATCCTACTATCTAATTCTTGATATTATTACTAATTATTAAAAAATGAGTATTTAAATAAAGAAAAAAAATGTATTTCTTAATTATTACTGATTTTGATTTTTAATCATATATTAAAAATAATCAGTGTAAAATATCACTTGAATCTACTTTTTTGGTCCTTCATAGTTGATTATTGAGAAAGTTTATAATTTAAAAAAGTTGAATTTGTTACCATGACTTTTAGGTCAACTTGCAAGTTTTAATTGATATCATTAAATAGAAAATTTTATGAGAATTAAAGAAATAGTATTGTTAAGATTAATATGCAGTCAGGAAACTTTATAATTAATATTTACAATTAATTTATCAGAATAGCTCAAAATTTTTTTGCATTTTTATTGTAACAGATAACTTAAATTCTAATAATAGTAATCATTTCGTAGTCACTTTTGGTGTTTAAAAAGATTCTACAGTTGAAATATTCAAAACTTAATAAATTTTAATGATTTACTTTAAATAAAAAAACCAATCAAAAAATTATTAAAAAAATCTATTCAATTGAGCAAAACAAGAATTTCATTATAATTGTAGACATTTTTTTTAAAATTCAGGTGAAATTAAAAATCATTTTTTTTTTAGAAATTATTTAAATAGCAACATGTTACCAAAAAATTTGAAATATTATAGACGGGTTGTAGCACACACAAAAAATTAATAAATTACAAAGTAAAATTATTTATATTTGTAGCTAAAACCAATTATTATATAAAACTTAATTCGACAATAAATACTTTAAAAAAAAATAGAAATTAATGATTTTAATTGTCTAAATGAAGAATGAGGGCTAAGTAACTTTTTATTTGATAAAGCAGATTTTTTTTTCAATTTTTGATGGTAATATCTAACTAGATGGTACTAGTTTAATTATTTGATGTACCGTTAAAAAAATTGATCAAGTGAGTGATGAAAAAATAAATGACAGCCACAAAAAAAAAAACCGCATATAATAAAATAATTTTAATATGAATTAAGAAGTTTCTTCTCACGAGGGAAGTCTACAGTGATGGAGTCCTTGATATTCATTGAAGTTATTAAATCTAAATGAGATAAAAGTCAAATGAGTTGAACATTTTTTCTAAATTAAGAAAAAAATGCAAACGAGTTCGAAACTCGTATACCAAGTGTTAAAGACTAAAGAGTTTCTGACATGATAACCGTAAATTTTGAATCCATCACTGTGGGTGGGTGAAAGGTCAGATTTACAAAAATACCAAATGATTGGAAAACATCTAATGTCTTCTTCTTCTTCTTCCTCGCTTTAATCCCAACTATTTGGGGTCAGCCTCCCTTATCCTAAACTTCCACTTTACACGATCTCCCACATCAGCTGTCCTCAAATCGCATTCAATAGCATCCCTCCATCTCATTTTTGGTCTTCCTCTACCTCTTCTTCCTTCAACATTCATTTCTATAACTGTTTTTACAGCATCCAATTTTTCTCTCCTCATAACATGATCTAAGTCTATTTTCTCTCATCTTATCCATGATTGACGCTACACCTATACACCCTCTTATATGGCGTTCCTTATTCCATCTTTTTGAGTCACCACTACACTTTTTTGCACCCTGGCACCTCTCCTTGTATTTCTCTAGTAATTTCATCCATCACTATAGAGAATAAGTAAGGGCTTAAAGCAGAACCTTGGTGCACTCCTACTCTTACCGAAAAATCTTCTGATACTCCTCCTACGCTTTTTACTCTGGTACAAGTGCCATTATACATATCTTCTGTTATATTAATGTACCTTTACGGGACTCCTTTTCTCATTAATGCCCACTTTAGAACCTCTCTCGGTACTCTATCATACGTTTTCTCCGAATCTATAAATACCATACAAAGCTTTTTCTTTTTTTCTCTAAACTTTTCTATTAGTTGCCTCACACAAAATAATGGCTCCATTATTAAATTACTAGGCATAAATCCAAATTGGTTTTTAGATACCGATGTCTTATTTCTTATTCTCTTATCTATTACCATTTCCCAAATTTTCATACTATGACTCATAACCTTTATGCCTCTATAATTTCCACACTTCTGTATGTCTCTTTTACCTTTAAATATCGGCACTATAATACTATTCCTCCATTCATTTAGTATTTTCCCTTCTAATAAGATTATATTTAAAAGTCCCTTCAACCACCTTATGCCAACATTGCTTAATATTTTCCATACTTCTACTGGCACTTCATCTGGTCCCACTGCTTTATTCTTTTTCATTGATACCACAGCCTCCAATACCAGTCCTCTACCTCTACCAGTCCCTCATTCCACGAGATATCCTTTAATGACTCTTTTGGGTTCTCCTCATTCAGTAATTTTTCAAAATACTCTTTCCACCTATTTTTCACATCATCATTACTCGAGAGTATCTATTATCAACACTTTTTATACACCTTATATAATGATAATCTTTAGATCTTTTCTTTCTTATCTTTGCAAGTCAATTAATTTTTTTCTCGCCTTCCTTTGTTCCTAGCCTATCATACAACTCATCATACCTCTTAAACTTCACCTTACTTACTGCACACTTGGATTCTTTGCACAAGCGTTTATACTCCATCCAGTAGTCTTCTCTCCTTTTGCTCTTCTGCCATACTTTGAATTGCTTTTTCTTACTTTCTATGATTTTTTGAACAACCTCATCCTACTACCAGGTTTCCTTGTTTCCTGGCATTCTACTCCTACTCTCACCAACAATCTAATGAAAAACATCTAATGTATATATAAAAAAAAATTGTTTCTATTCATCAATTTTTGAAAAAGTTATGGCAGTTTTAAGCAAAAAAAATTGAAAAAAATATTAACGATTTTTAAATTTATAATTTTATTAGTGATTTCCCTTATTTACAGGGGACGGGTGAAATCTTTTCAATTTTTATGAGCAATGTCTTAAACTAGATACGATTTGTGATTTTTTGATATATTGTTCATCAAAATCAGTCCATTGAGAGCTGAGAAAAAATGATAACAGATATAAAAAAAAAAATACATCATAGTAAAATTAATACCTTCTCAGCTTTGAATCGAAGCTAAAATATAAGATGAAATAATCTAAATAATGGTTTCAAAATTTTATCAACAAAAAAAGTTATTCTTTAAATTACCTATAACATGTTCCAAGTAAAAATTTTGCCCAAAGTCCAGGAGATGTTGAATATTTTTTTGCCAATTTTTGAGCTGATTTTACTTCATGTTTAGTGCGCCTTGCCATAGGGCTTCCAGGAATAGGTAAATGATCATCATTTTTAATTTTTAGTTGATTTTTTGAATCTTTGCACTTTAATATTTCTGAGTTTAAAATGAAACCATTCTTTAAAAATAAATAATAAAGAATATTACATTTCGAAAAATATTTATCTTATCTTAGATTATATAAATAAGATTAGATTTACTTTATAAGAATATGGAACCATGTTTGGCATGTCTGACATTTCTGGGGGCATGATAAACACAGTTCGTTCACTTTGACCACAAGAGTCTAACTCAATAAGTCTGGTAGGACTATTTTCAGAGTCAATCTAAAGCAATCAAAATTTTATTATCAAGTAAAATATTATATAGATTTTTTTTTTTTACAGAAAATTTCATACTTTTTCAGAACATTCATCAAAAAATTCCAACGCAGCATCCATATTGGATACAAAAGACCTTTCTTCAATAAAACGAATAAACATTTGAGTTTTTGTTAAAAGTGAGTAAAATTTTTGGTTTGATTTGTCTCTAGATTTTAAAAAACCTAAAAATTATGAAAAATAACAATATCATATTATTCTTAAAATTCAAATGAATGATGATTATTTTTTTTTATTATTTAATAATAATTTTTGTATCTCAATACAATGTTATTAAAAAAAAATCATTTTAGTTATATCAATATTGAAATTACTCAGTAACTGTCATTTGATTTAAAATCAATAATTACCTAACAAATCAAATAATGAACTTGTATCTGTAGTACCAGCTGTTGGTGCCTTTGTAATTGGTCTCAAAAACCAGCGATAACCTTTTAATATTGATCCCATAAATCGAAGGAAAGCTTCTTGAATATTTAATTCTAATTCATGCTGTAAAATTTATATAAATTGTAAATGTTAAATAAGAAAATAAAATAAATAAACTTTTATAAAAATATATTTTCAAAACTAATTTTAAACAATAATTAAACTTAATTATTGGTTAAAATAATAATATCAGGGGCAGATAAAGCCATTAGGAAACCTGGAAATTCCTGGTGTTCCTCTCAAACAAGCTATCATTTATTTTATAACTGGAGTCTCAAACTTCTCTCTTGTATTTGTTTTTTAATCAAAATTTATATCAAAGTTTAATAAAAACAAAAATTTTAGGTATTAAATGAAAATTTCTTGGAAATATGTTATTATTCTAAAATTGATAAATAAAAAAAATTAGTTATATTTATTTAAAATAAGTATTCATCTATCTTATATTTCCTGGTAAATAATAAATCACTTATATTATTTATTTATTGAAATAAAGTTAAAATGTACTTATGACCTCTAATAAATAATTTAAAATACTAATTATTCATTAATTGACAAATTATTCTAATATTACTATCTGAATTTAAATTTTATAGGTTTTATTTAATATGTAAGATATTTCTTATCAGAAAAGTTTCATTTTTTTTAAATTTCTTACACTAATTTTTGTTTCTCAAGCATAAACATTAAGACAAAATTATTAATATTTTCAAATTAGTTACCAATACCTCTTTGCGTTTCATTAAGATATCTTTATCAATACTAGTTTCACCAAAATTTTTGTTATTTGAAGTGTGAAAGCTGGTTTGTAGTTCATCAAGTTTTTCGTAAAGTTTTTCTAATGTGTATTTTAAAACTCTTGCTGATTTTTTTGGAAGTAATTTAATAGATAAGTATTTTTTATCCTCACATCTATGTAACAAAATTACAACCATTTAACAGAAAAAAATAAAAAAATATATTAAATTAAATAGAGAAAAATAACTACACTTACAATGTCACAGTATTTGTATCTAAATCGACACATGTTACATCAGTAGGTGGCTCATACAAATCAAAAAATCTTGAATCTACTCCAATTAAAAATGGTAATGGAGCATGTAGTACTTCAGCTAAACTTAACGGACACAAAGGAATATATGGACATTGCCATTTGAAAGGAAATATCAACTAAAAGTTAAATTCAACTTAAAATCAGTTATTACTCTAAATGTAAAAAAATGTAGCATAAAATATTTTTCATACAATAATAAATTTTCTATGAATTATTTTCATTTAAAAAAGGCATTATTTTAAGTAAAACTAGAAAAAAACTTACAGAAGAAATGGCTTCTGCTACTGCTGTAAGTACATCAGGTCTTAGAGAATGAATTAGAAGTTTCTGTTCTGTTAAAGCACATAATAAAAGAAGAAGACAGTTATCTGGGTGCAAATTCATAATCATTTGATGAAATCCTGCTCCACTATATATTATAACATTAACATTAATATAGTTATAATTTTAAAATATTTTTAAAATTGTTTTAATAAATATTAAAAAAAAATAAGTGTACAAGAAATAAAATTACCTCCGTGGTATTGGTAAGTCTTCAGGTTGTGTTAAGATAAGCTGTGTGTCCATTGATAATTGTACAAGAATTTGAGGTCTCTCAGGTGATGGAAATGGTACTTCATCAACTAAGTGTGTAATATACCGTTCAACAGGTATATGTATTTTATCACCAAGCGAAGTATTAAGCAAAAACATGAGAAATTTTTCAAATGTATCAAAAAATGGCCAATGAGATAATACACAAATACTTTTATTTGAATGTAAGCCAATTCCATTTTTTAACTCATTATGATGTTCATTGAGACCTAACAATTCTTTTTGTTCATTTGATAGATTACCACTGAATTTTTCATAGAATGTTATAGCTGCTCCATAAACCTGTTCCAATTTTTTAATGAATATAAAATAAAAAAGGTTGGAATAGTGAGGAAGTGGTATAGTTGGGACAAGTATAGATGATATCTGACTTTTAGTAATTAAAATCACTATCATAAGAAACGCTTCGATGCAAATCTGTTGATAGTGTTTAATTCTAAGAAATTGATGGATATTTACAAAAGCAAAATAAACTCTTATTTTCTTGTGTTATCCCGATTACAAATTTTATGATATATAAGAATAACATATGAATAAATTAAAATTTATTTATTAAATATTTAATAAATTTGTTCAACTTCAATGGCTATTTACACATAAAAGACAGGTCGCCGGAAAAATTATTACTTTTAATTTATAGTACATAACATAAGTTTTAATTTAGCATATCTTTAAAAGATGCAGTATTTTCAGAATATTTTAAAAAGTTAAGTTGAAAAAATTGACTTGTAAAAAAGGTGCTATTTTGAATCCCCCTCAAGACAGGTAAATAGGTTTGTATATAAAAAAATTATTTTGATTTGTTCATGTTTGAAAAAGTTATGACAGTTTTAGGAAAAAAAAACCAAAAAAAATGTCAAAAGTTAGCAATTTTAAAAATTATAATTTTTTGGAAATTTCCCCCATTTACAGAAAACGAGAGAAATTTTTTCAATTTTTAAGGGCAATATTTTTAACTAGACACAATTTGTGAACTATTGATTTATTGTAAAAGAAAATTGGTCCAATGAAAGCTGAGAAAAATTGGCGACAGACATAAAAAAATAACACATCATAGTTAAATTAATACTTTTCCAGCTTCGCATCAAAGTTAAAACTTAGTTATTTTTCACTAAATCTTTACAAACCTTTTCAGAAGCATCACTAACAGTTAATACAAAAGTTGAAAATACTGGTTTTGGTTGGCTTGCCTGATTTGGCCAAGCTTCAAGTGTTGCACCCATTGGTAAACAAAATAATGCTACTGATGGTAAAAGATGAAAATAATTTCTATCTTCTTTTGGATACCGATTAGTGATTACTATATCAAAAAAAAAAAAAAAATGATTATTTATCAAACAAATAATTTAAAATAAATTTTATGAATTTTCAATTTAAAATTTCTTTTATTTAAAAAACTTGAGAGCCCTAGAGATTATACTTATATATAATAATCTACCTGGTTTATAAGTGATTGATTTAGGTTTCATAACAGATTTTTTGTAACACAGGTATACATCTGACCCAACCATGCCTTTATTCAAGTTTTTATGTATTAAACAAAAGGCATGTGGTGGTGTTTCTCCTCGACTAGTTATAACTACACAAATATGAGATACAGCTAATATATTACATGGTGCAGTAGGTAAAGCACGTCTATAAGTTATGAAAGTTTTCGATGATGTAGAATTATTAATATTTGCAACTTCACCACTAACTGTAGTTTTTAATACCTGGGCATCTTTTAAAACTCTTTCTTTGCCATCATACATTATACTAAAACCAAAATCTTGAAGTCTATAAATCAATACAAGAAAAAAAATAATAATAAATAGTTTACCCAATATCCACTATTGGGGGTTTATCACGTCCACGGCGATAACATAAAAATACTTCTGGACTTCTTAAACTACCATGATTAAGATCAGCTATTAATCCTACAAAAATAATAAAAAAAATAAAGTATTGTACTTCTAAAATATTATAAAAATTAATCAAATTATTACCACTTGGAGTTGTATCTACGACAATAAAATCAGAAGGTACTTTTTCTCCGAGAGAGGGGAAAACAATAGCTAAATCTGTAATAGGAGGAAGGTCAGAACATAAACTTTGTTTTAAATGAGTCGAATTTATATCATCATGGGATTGTTCATCGGAAGCACCAACTACCACAAAATAATCAACTACTCTCCTTTCTTCCATTGGTCCTATATTAATAATAACAATATTTTATAGTCTAATAAATGTTCAATAAATACATTTGAATAGGATAAGTGAGATACATAATAAGTAACTTAATAGTATTAAAATATTAATTACATAAAATATACTTACTAATTAGCCTTGAACAAAATGATTTAGTAATATAAAATATACTTATTCTAATTTAAAATTAAAAAAAAATTGTTTTTTAAAATATTAGTTTGAATAAATTCATATTAGGAAGTAATGCCTCGAAAATCATTTAGCCATATTAAAATTTGAACTAGTTCAGAAATTTAAATTCGTTTTTTGATTAAACATACTATTTAAGTAACAATTATCTATACAAGTACAATTTGTATCTTTTTATTGATAACAATATAACAGAATATAAATTATCAAATGCGTTGTATATATAATTTTTACATCACGATAATGCAACTGAGAAATAATTTTAGATGTATTCCTATCGGATTGTTAATTACTAATATAAGATATCATTTATAGTGAAAATTATTCAGCTTTCAAGGGACTGTTTAGAGAAAGTCGACGTTATCTTAAAATTGTAATCAAAATATTGAATTCTTTTCTTTAGAAAAAATTAATTCGTAAATTTGTTGGTGTAATATTTAAGTGAACTTTTTTTTAAAATAGGATCTATTTAAATTTTAAATATTAAAATTATTGTTTATGTAAAAGGAATAATTAATAAATTAAAGAGTTCTGATAAATTTTACAGAAAATAATTATATAAGTGCTATAACAATATTATTGTTCTTAGGGGTCTTAATTTTGGTTGATAAGTGATGTAAATGAAGTACATCGATTGACAACAGTAATACTTGTTTGAAAGTTACTCAATTTAAACTCAAGAAACCGATATCTTTATTCCAAAATATAATCGAAATTACTACCCCATATTTAACTAGAGAAATGCATCATTTGATTCCGTTGTGGGTGATAAAACAATTGTTATTTTTGTGGCACGAATAGTCTATAGTATTCCGCTCTATATAAGGGTAAATGGGATAACTGTTAATTCAACAATTTTCAATAAAACTGAGTACTCGATACCTATCTAAGATATTTACTATCTTGAGCAAAATCATAGATTCCTTTAACTCTTAGATTAATTTTTTACTTTTTTAATATTATTTGAAAATAAATATCAAAAACAACGCTTTTGACAGACACTTGTCTCGCCGATATGTCTTGAGCACGCCCATTGTATACCTATATCAATATGCTCATTTGAGTTTTCTTTAGTATTCTCTTTTATCTACGTTCATTACTTGTTATTATTTTTATTAAACAGTGATAATTGTAATTGATAATTCGAATATCCGTTTGAATATGTATTCTTAGATCACTAAAATACATTTAGATATGATTAAAAAAAACTAAAAGATTTTTATTTTATTGTTATATAATCATAATGAATGTTTAAGATTATAGTAGACATTTATTTCACACATAAAAATGTCCAGTTTATTGTGTAGAGATGATTTTGATGTTGGACCAAAATCAGTTATTGCTGTTGAAGATAAGTTGTGGCTAGGTACAGTTATATTTGTTATTAAAATTACAGCATTACAATATCATTTTTTTTTTTTTTGATACTTTAGTGTGTAATAATCTGACTCATGTCCAATTCATATTTCTTGTTTTGATTTAAAAAATTGATTATAGTAAAAAAAACATCAATCCACTTTTGTCTTAATAATTTATAATGATGTTCAATAAACTTAATAGTCAAAATAAAATTATTTTGGTTTTTGGAATAATATTAATATTTTACTGTAATGCTTTATTTACTAATAAATAAAAAATTACCATGACCAAACTAAAGTATGAAACCTAAATTATTTATATTTATTGATCATCTCTTTAACCTTATCTCAACGATTTGGTGTAGGATATACCATACAATGATTTCATAATATGTTGTACAGCAGTTGTTGATTTAACACAACCTCATTATGGGTAAGGGGACACGTTGTAAGTTACAGTTAAAGGTCCTCTATGGTCACCAATTTGTGAATCAACAACAAACAGCGCAGCTGAACATCAGCACTAAGACTGTGACTTAATGATTCATAGCACCACAACATGTCCTCTGTATGGAATAGTATGATATTATCAATTAATAGTGTAACTCTTTTAAAATATATATTTTTTTACATTCCTGCTGATGAGAAATTCTAATTTCTGCTTTGAATATAGGTAGGAATAAGTTATTGTTGGTTAAAATATTCGGCTGAAATATCTATTTTCTTCTGCACTATCCATTACTATACAAAATGTTTTTTTTTCTTTAGTTACATGTGTACATTTTATTTATACATATATTTTTTAGGAAATTTATCTGCTGCTATGGATCTATCTTTTTTGAAAAGCAATAATATTAATTTTATAGTTACTGTTGATTCTTGTCCTTTACCAGAAAGTATCACTAATATGAGAGATATTCATATAAAATTTATTCAAGGTAAAAAATAGAGAATTTTTAAAATTAATTATGTAAAAATAATTTACTTTAATTAATAATAAATTTATGAAAAAAAGTTATACCTTTTCAGCTATAAAGCAAAAAAAAAAACATTAATGTGTTTAATAATTATGTTTTGTTTTACAGTAACTGACTTGGAAAGTGAAGATCTTTTAAGTCATTTTGATAGTACATTCCAGTTTATCAAGGACGGTATTGAAAAAAGTTCAGTTCTTGTTCATTGGTCAGTATGTTATAATACATTTTTTTAATTTTTTAAATATAAGAGGATTGAAAAAATGTGTATATTTATGTTTATACTTCATAAAGTTTATAAATAGTCATATGGTTAATTTTAGTCATAAAATTATTTTAATTTTGAAATTGAACCCTAACCCCTTGTTATTCAGATAAAAGCTTAGATATTAATTCCTATTTAGTAATGAACAACCATACTTAATTAGCCTTGATTACACTAATAAAAGTGTCAATTTTAAAAACTATAACTTATTGGTTTTACACATAGTACACATCACAGTTATAATTTTTAAAATATAAACAATTAAAAACTTGTACCTTGAAGAATCAAACTTTTTTTTATGTTCATATAAAATAAAATATTTTAAGTTTTAAGTATTCCTTAATAATACTTTATATTATATAATTAAAGTATGTGTTATTTTGTTTATAGCTATTTTGGAGTTTCTAGAAGTTCAACCATAGTCATAGCNGTATGTGTTATTTTGTTTATAGCTATTTTGGAGTTTCTAGAAGTTCAACCATAGTCATAGCTTATTTAATGAAAAAATATGAAATAAGTTTTGGTGAAGCTCATAAAAAGTAATATAATTTTTGGTTTATCAATTCAAAACATTTTAAAATAAATAAGACAGTGATGATTTTTGAAATTTTTTAGAAATTGAAAAAAAAAAGTTAAAATTAAATACCATATAATTTTATGGTTGATTTTTTGAGTTACTGCCTTTCAAAAGTTAATTAAAATTATATATTATTTTAAATAAACTCATTTTTCGTCAAGTTATTAATTTGTAATTATATTTTAGAGTCAAATGTATAAAACCAAATGTTTCACCTAATACAGGTTTTCTTGCTCAACTTAGCCTGTATGAAATTTTAAATTGGAAAATCAATAAGGATAATTTGCAATATAAAATGTACAGACTAAAGATAGCAGCCAGAAAAGTAAAAAAAGGTTAATTTAAATGAAAATAAATAAAATATAAGTAAATTAGTGAATATAAGTTTTACAATAAAAATAATCACTCTGTATATATATATTAAAATATATTTATGATATTGTTACTATAAAATATTTTGCATTAAATTACATTTTGATATTTTAGTTAAAATACTACCACAAGATTGTATAGATGTAATAAAAAAAGATCCTTCTTTAACGTCAGCTAAACCAGATCCAAAAGTTTTTCGATGTCGAAAATGCAGGTATAATTTAAAAAATTCATGACACAATTATATTTAAAATTTATTATAAATATTTTTAAACTTTTGAAGTAATAAATACTTAACAATGTTTTTAAAGTAGTCATTTGAATAATGTTATAGTACTTTTCACCAATATTTAAAAATATTAAGATAATGTAATTAGTAGATATAGAAAATAACATAATATAACCAACAGGTATTTTCTCATTATAAATGTAAATTATTCTTTAAAAGATTCATTTTATCCCAAATAGATTTTTCATGTATAAATTTTTTGTATAAATTGGTTAATTAAAGGACATTTTATGAAGTTTTCAAACCGGCTTGTATCCATAACAAAGGTCTATTCATTGATTACCCAAAATTTTTTTCAAATTTACATTGTTAAATTTTGATTTTATTCTCATAAGATGTAGAATTTTTTTTTTATGTCTTACAAAAATTGAATTCTGGCTCTATATACACGTTTACAAACTTTAAAACAAAGAGTTTTTTTCATATTTTATAGGAATTTAAACTCTGATGACTTTCAAAACTAGTAAAGTGTATGACAAATTATTTTTTACAATACATGTTAAGGAAAGTTAAATTTGATAGGCGATTTTTGTAAAATTAAATTTATTTAACTTTTTTTTTTTAGATATTAATAATTAATATTAAACAAAATAATTTTATTTGTAGAAGAATACTAGCATTACAATCAAATCTATTACCACATTTTGCAAATGAAAAACTTTCATGGAAAGATTCAAAGTTGTCTACAAATTTCTTAGAATCTCAATTATGTTCTTCTACTTACTTTGTTGAACCTTTGTCTTGGATGTCTGTAACTCAGTCTGCAAATGGTAAAATCAACTGCCCTAAATGTCATTCTAAACTTGGGTCCTATAGTTGGACTATGGGTTGTCAATGTCAGTGTGGTGCTAAAGTATCACCAGCATTTTATTTTATACCATCTAAAGTAGACCATAGTGGTTTTTTACAAAACGTTCAATTTACAATTTAAAATCATATTGGTGTATTATACATTTGTATATTTGTGTATGAAAATGTTTATTAAATAAATAACGATTCGAGTTAGTATAATAATTATTATTAACATACTTAGGCAAAATATTTCCTGAATATCCAAGGAACAATTTTTTAAACCCTTATCTAATAAAAAAAAATTATTACTAAATCTACATTATACAATTTATACAGTTTTCAAAATCTAGAATATTGAGGGATGTACATTTTTCCTAATATCACTTAAATGAAAAAATTAATTTTTCATGAATAAGTATTTGGTGGTTTTGTAATTTATAATATAATTAGAAATACTTAGCAAAAATTAAATATTTTACAATACATATTGTGAATATTTTAAATTTTATGACACTAACACAAATAATTATGCTGCCCGAGTATGATTATACATATCATGGATTGTTGAAGAAATGAATAATACATTTTTTCTATTTATGTTATGAAAACTTTGGTTATATTACTAAAATTGTTGTATATAATTACTTTTTTTTATTGAATTTTTATTATTTTTTGACAGATATAAATGTTTTAAGAGTATCTAGAATATAATTTTTGTGATGGCGAAATTAATTTTTCATATCCTAAAATAATATATATTAAGTGTAGATAAAAGGTGTGCTATGGTGACATTATATTGTCACACATTTAATGTTTTACATTTTTGGGGGGCAATTTTTCTCTTAGTTATTTTGAAGAGTTGTTGGATATATTAAATAAGTAAAAATATGTAGAAAGTATTTTATTTTTCAAAATACAATTATTAAAAATAATAAGATGATAATCTATTATATATGTATCTATCATTTATATATTGAGTGCATATATTATTTACATATATATTTTTAACAATGTTTTTTTAACACCATCAATACTTGACCAAATTGTTTCAACATGATATTTGAAAGACTCTAAAACATTTAAAAACTCATTTATAGAACCACCAACACCAAAATAGTAGTTTTTAGCTATTAACAAAATAAATCCAGTGGGTTTTAACTTATTTTTAAACAGTTTTATTAACTTATCATATGAATTAACATTGTATATGGTTTCAGAAGTAAGGATAAGATCATATTTATCTTCATTTAAAGAATTATAAGATTCCCAATCACCACAAAAAAACTTGCATTTTGTTACATTTTTGATATTATTAAGAATAATATTATTCATAGTAATGTTAACTAAAACTTCTTTATTATAATCTTGGAAATCTACTTTCCTGGCACCAGAAATTAGAGCTAAAATACCTAGGAGACCATGACCACACCCTAAATCTAAAACTGACTTCTCTTTTAAAATATGAACATTTTTACATAAATATTTTAAAATGTCAACAGAACATTCCCATAGTTTATATCCACCTTCATAGACGCCAGGAACAAGATCAGAATTATATGTATCATTTTTCTCTAATGCATATTTAAATATGTAGTTCTCGACTGTTAAAATGCTGAATGGAACTTCTTCAGTATTAAGACTAAGAAATGGTAATTCCTCAGCTTCTAGCAGTTCTTGTTTTTCTTTATCCAAATTTGAGCATTTTGACACTTTATTATTAAAATTAAACTTAAACATCTTTTAAACTGAAAAATTTAAGATAATAAAACAAAATATTTTATAAGTATCTCTGTATATTTTAAACTACACAATATTTTTAATTAATTTAAACTTTAACATTATATTTTATGATAAAAAACTAACTTTTAAGAAAAATTGAATAAAGTCAATTTATAAATGAAAATTTAAAAATTATTGATTTTTAACTGCTAAAATACAATAAGTGTACAAATTTAATTACATACTATAAAAAGGTAATACAATTTCATATCAAATGTTTTATAATAGCAAAAATAGTTAATAATTTAACATATTTCATCATGAATAATTTTATTAATTCGGATTTTTGTAACAAAAACATTAACATTTGTTTAATAATTTGATAACTTATCACATTTTGCTTCGATGTAATTTCTAATAATACTTGGGAAAAAATTAGTAGAAATATATTATTATTCTACAATACAGCGTTTCGTAAAACATAACATAAAAAATAAATATTTTTTGGATAATTTTGTTTAGATAAAAGTTTATACCGAGATTCAAATACTTAATATATTAAAAGTTGTCTAAATATTTAGTAACAATGATAAGATAATGAAATACATATGATTTACACATTTACTTATTAAGGAGTCAATAAAAAAAATACACATTGAAAAATTAATACTTTTTCAGTTTAGTAATGAAGTTAATCTTAATTAATCCAATTCGTAATTAAAAAATAATAATAATAAACAAATTTTCAGATTGTTTCAAAATTGTTACATAATTGACTTATTATGTCAAATAGGTATATTATGTATACCCCACGATAATATGGTAATAATCATATGCAGACTTCAATTTTCTATCGAGTCCAGAAACAAATAATGCCCTAATTACTTAAACAACATTTTTAGTGTATCCTTAGGAAAACTATGTAAAAGAGGTTTCCAATTTCCACAAAAAGTTGTGTACAAGTTTCATTATGCTCCTTATTCATGACAGATTAAAATCATTGTTGTAAAACGTTTCTATAATTTTACTATGAGGTGTTTATTTTTTTTTTTTGTTTCTGTTACCACTAATTCAGCTCTCACTGGACCGATTTTTTCAAATTCAAATTAAAGAATTTGGTAGTTAGGATTGTATGATTGCGTTAGCTTCTTTGTTAGTGACACGAAAGGAGGTGCAATGGTATATGCTGCCCTCTCTCTGGGAGTCAATGAAATATGGCGTGTATTATTAATATTTCTAAATATATCAGTTTGTTTTTATTATATAAGTATGATAATATACAAGAACTTTTTTATAAAAAAATATTAGTAGTTAAATATTTTTAAAATAAAAGTTATTCAGGTAAAAATATATAAGTAGGGCGCTTTATTTAAAAAACCTAACCCGACCCCCCAAAAAATCTAGATCTGCTCTTAATTGCATAAAAAAGATCCATTATTCAATTTAGGTTTATTGCTAACTTTTCCTTTTTTTTTTTTTAAACACAAAATTTTCAAATGATTAAAGGAAAAACTATTTATAAATAATAGTCATAAATATAAATTATAAAAGTGACATCAATTAAAAGACCTGAAAAAATATTTATTTCTATGCATAGATTATAATTATTAAGATTATTATTCTGTGTAATTTTATTAATTTATAAACCGTAGCAACTAATTTTAATATATGTTAACTCTTTTAAATTTTTGTACTAAAAATCAAATTATTTATAAAATTTCAGAATTGAAAATCTCTTAATTCCTTAGAATACAGTTTTAAATAGGTTTCAATATGTAAGATTATTTTTATTTCTTATTCTTAAAAAATGACTAAGTTTGAGGATAAATGGTAATATTAAATATAAAGGAAGCTTAACTTCATTATCAAGAAATTAAATAAAAGGATTAATAAAATACAATTACATGAATACATAATTTTTAATTAATTTTTCTGAAGCACACCTTATTAATATTAGATATAAATGAAATTTTTATAAGACAATAATGAGTCTTTGGTTTAATTATATTGAAAATAAATTTTATCAATTGAAAAAATCCTAATTACAAATTTTAAATAATTTCTTCAAATTAAATATTTAAAGTTTATAGTACACACAATATGTACACTAATATATAACACATCATGAATAGAAAAGAAATTATTTCTATTATTTTCAACATTTTATCTAATCTAATTCATCTATAATGAGGAGAAAGTTATACAATTTAATGATTTAAACTATTAGTATAACCAAATCATAACTATAAGTAAAATAAATTGTTAAGAAGATCTTTTAAATTACAATATAAAATTTTTAAACCGTTTGTATATTCTTAGAGTCATCTTTACATCTAATGTTTAAAGTTATATAGTGTAATTATTAAATTATTCTATTAAAATATTTTAATTACAAAAGTAAGATAAAAAGGTCTTAAATGTCTTAATTTCTAGCGTGTTAAACTTTGATTGACAATAATATTTATTTTAACTTAACTTACACAGTTCTAATGTAATTCTTGGAAGTCTTAACATTTTGAATAATACTGCAATCAATTGTACTTATTTTTATGAAGAGAAAGAAAAAAAAATTACACACATCTTTATCCTAAAAAGAACTCTCTTCTATAGGGAAATAAAAACCGTGGAATAAATTAAAGATGTAAATATTCCTGATAACCAGCATAAGTTTAAATTTCTGTGGGTTGAATTCTCTTGACCCAAGCTTTTTATGCAACTGTTTGTGGCAGTTAAAACTTTTTAACCTGTGAACAAATAAAAAAACATTTAATCAGTAAAATGTTTACCAAATTTTCAACTATTTTCTTATTATTTAAAGCCAGTAATACAAACTAGGTTAAATACTTTATTAATTTAAGATACTATGTTGTAATATTGGCCCTAAATCTTAATTCAATAATCTTTTAATAAAGTTTAAACACATTTAAGTTGTAGTTTAAATTAACTATTAGGAATATTTAGTTCAGTTACCTTATATATTCAGTATCTTCCTCTTCCTCCTCGTCCAATTGTTCCTCTACTACCCCTAACATGAGTTACAGGGGGTCTCAAAGCTCTAGCAGGGCCAACCCTACTTCGGGGAGAACCTCTAGCATGGCTACTTTCAATGTTACCACCTCCACCACTAACAAAATTGCTGCTACTATATCCTCTATTAAAATCACTAGATCTGCTATCAAGACTACCTAAAAAAAATGAATTATTATTATTTATACAATTAGTTTAAATAAAAATTTATTTGAAAATAAATTATATTTAAGAAAAGTAAATTTTTTTACCACTATAAGGTGCAGGTCTAGAAGTTCCACTGTTTCGAATGGGTCCACTACTAAAACTTTGTGGATAATTACTGCCAAAATTATCATCCCATGCACTAGTTGATGGACCACTCCAATGTCGAGAATGTGACATAGGACCAGACTCCCAAGGATCAGGATCATTAGATCCTATAATGCAATGATACAAAAATTATTCAGTAAAATAAACACATTATAATTGACTGTTCATAAATGAAAGAAATCAAAAACTGTTGAGACACTTGTATACATGTTATCATTTAAATTAGTTAATTATCCTTGTTGTGCAAATTTTTAATTGAGAAATTCTATCTTAATTAGTTGTCATATTACATTGTTAATGTAATAGACATATTTAAAATATACATGAATTTTGATATTTGGGTATAGTTTATTATTCTCTATTCAATAATGCACTATCTAAGATATAATAAATATAATTTTAAAAACAAGAAATAGTAATGCACATGTTACTTTATGAGAGATCAAAACTTTAAAGTTAATTATCTCAAAATGTTATTTTTATGGTTTTATTGTATTGATAGTATGATCATCATTCTCCTAGCATATATATCTTATCTAATAAATTCTAATTTCTGCTTGAATATAAGTCGGAATAAGTTATTTGTGGTTAAAATATTCAGCTGAAATATGTATTTACTTCTAAACTATTATTTCTACTATAACTTTAATCTAAAAAAAAAGTGAGGGTTACATCATTTGACCTATTAAACATTGATATAATACTGTTAATAATATAAATAAGAAGATAAAAGAAATAACAAATATCATATAGCATCAAAAATTAAATCTGAGGTTATTATTTAAAAATACACCATTTGATTTCTTTATTGTCAAAATTTAGTAACTTATGTACCTCTCCAAGATCCTCCACTACTATTAGAAGGGTGACTTCTAACGCCAAAATGCCTCATTGTAGGTTCCCAAGCATTACGATTATCTCCAGCCCAATTATCAGACGAGTTATGATTTCGAGCATTTACCTTTGCCATTTCTTCTTTACTTAATGCTTTTTTCACATCAATTTTTTTCCCTTTGATAATATGAGATCCTTTTACTGCAATTAAATATAAATTATTGTAATAACACTGTGTCTATCATAATTAATAAAAAAATTTATCTAAATAATTACAGTAATGTAATAAATATATATTTTTTTTACACTAATTGATGAAAAATCTACATTTTATCATTTGTAATACATTATGTACGAGACTAGGATCTAAGCAAACCAATATGCAAAAATGGAAATTAATTTTTTATTTTTCAAATAACTACAATTGTATAATTTATTGCTAGTTGATTTACAAATAAAGTTGGATAGAAAATATGTAGGAGCAGTAATGTTGATATAATTTGAAGCTATGAAGAATTTGTAGGAATGAAAAAGGAGAGTGGACTGTATAAGGCACTCAACAATGATTAAAGCAGTAATGCATGTTTTGCTATAAATATCAAAGGAATTAATAAAATATGGTTGTTATAGTACTAATAATTTGGACAGTGATATAATAAGTTATGTAAATTAAACAAAAATTAAAAGAATACTTATCAGTTTGGATTGTTTGTAGCTGAGGTGAATGATAGATGGATGGAAAGGATATTGGATGAATGGTCGTGTAAAACTAGATGCGAAGTGTGATATATGGCAAAACCAAAATGTAATGGAGAAAGGTGTGTAAGAATCACAGGACGACAAGTTACACACAAGTCAAATATTTGCTGAAGAGCAAACAGGACAGTAATATGGGGGTGGCACTGTGTATGTGAGAGAATAAAAAATGTGCAGAAAATACATATATTGCTATGTAACCGAATATTAACTCAATTGATAGAGAGGTGGTCAAAATAACTAAGTGCCCCACTAGTCACCAGACTGTAAGTGTTGCTAAATTAAATGAAATTGCATCCATATTTGTACCTAAAAACTATAGAAAAATTAAATATGTAGACAATATGATTTAAGTTTCCTTGAAAACAAGAAGAGTTTATCTTTTAAAAGAAACCAAGATCATATTGTCAAAATTTTTGCTTTTTCTACAAGTTATTTAAAAATTTAAAAAAATTGTACTTTAAATGTACCCCAGATATTAGTGTAAAATAATACTATAATTTCAAGATTAATTTAGGTTAACTTACAACAGATTTTGTCAACTGGATCATAATCATCAAATTCTACAAAACCAAATCCTCTTTTTTTCCCAGTTTCTTTATGAACAACTAAAGCAGCTGAGGTAACATTACCATAAGAAGCAAAATATTCTTTCAAATCATCTTCTGTAATACTATCATTTAATAGACCAACAAATAATTTCTTAACAGTAGCTCCAGCTTCAGGTTTTCCAATATCCTGAAAAGATATGTCATTTATATGAATGATTTTTCCAAATACATTACTATGGTAAATACTCAAACTAGACCCTTTATAATTGGAATATTGTAAATATTATATTTTTAAATATAATTAATCTAATAAAATATATATATATATATACAGAGTGTGCCAAAAGAAAGTTCACACTTTTTTGTTTACCTGGTACAGATTTTTAAGCATACTATTTACAAGAAATTGTGACTACAAAATTGCTTTAAATCATCAAAATAATTATGAAAATTCATAAATTATTAAGTAAAATTAAAATTAAGATGGATAACCCCCCGAATTTTGAATGTAGTGGCTAGTAACAGGAAGCGATTTGTTAAAAAACGTGATTTTTTTCCACTTTTTCAATCAAAAAACCCGTCTGACTCGCCATCTGTTGTTGAAATCGTGCAGATAAATGCTGCGAAATTATCTAAACATACTACTGAGTGCAGTAAATGCACCGCTGTTGCCCAACCTCCACCGCTTCCATGCATCTGATGCGTAAAACTCGTTTCTCCAACAAGCACTATTATCATGGCAACGAAGCTAATTACTTGTTCGATTGTTATACATCTAGAGATCGTTTTATCAATCTTTGTTAAACATTGTTGGTTGGGTTGGGTTACAAACGTATTTTGTTCCTGGTTTCAAATCTGTTCATGAAGATATTTTCAACAGAATTTATTTCCAACAAGATGGTGCTCCAGCGCATTACACTAATGCGGTGAGAACGTACCTAGATGATACGTTTCAAAATCGCGTAATTGAGCGTCGGGGCAACTTAGAGTGGCCCCGAGGTCCCTAGACCTATCACTACTCGATTTTTTTTGTGGGGTTATATTAAAGATCAAGTATATAGCCGACCTTCGCGAAACCTTGAGGAGCTTAAAGAGAAAATTGAAGAGGTTTTTTCAAACTTGGAATTGAATCCAACTATGCTCAAAAATGTAATCCGTAGCATTCCTGATCGTCTACAAACTTGTTTAAATAATGATGGCAAGAATTTTGAGCATTTATTGTAATTATAACGTATATTTTTTAAAATAAACGTTGAAACATCAGTGTGAACTTACTTATGGCAAATGTGAACTTTCTTTTGGCACACCTGTATATATATATATAAAATGAAATGAAATATTCTAATTAAATCTGTATATATCAACCAATTACCCTTACTGATATTTTTATTTTGTAAAAAAACTATATTTTTATTTAAGTTTATAACAAAAATGTAGTTAATATTCACTGAACAGTCTAACAAGAAGAGGAGTTATTGAAATTTTTACATTAAATAACTTATAGTTACATATTTGAAAATGTAGGTAGTATTTTAGATATACACGGTATGGCAATTGAACAAAGATAATTTTTAATGTAACTTTTTTTAAATATATATCCTATTTCCAAACATTTCTATCTTTACTAAAATATAACAAACTATGGGAGTATAATAACATTTCTTTGCTGTATAACTAAATATATTTATATAAGAGTAACACATCCAGTTTTAACAAATGCAGCATAATTTTGAATAAATCATTTTTTCCTTTTAATTATGTGTTTATACTAAACATTAATAACTCTTTAAATATTAAATATCTGATTATTAAGTAATAAAAAAATAGATACATAAATATGACTGTTGAAAAAGTCTTGAAATCAGCCAAACTTTTAACATTTTTTTACAACAATATGATTTGTTAAATTGGCTCTAATTTATTTTATAAATTACTCAAAAATTTAATATAGTAAAATTTTCAATTCATTATTATATAATAATATAAATATATTATTTTAAAGTATATAGAATTAACAAGCAAAAGACAACATTAAAGCAAAAACGCACAGTGAAATATAAAAAAAAAATTAATTGATTAATTGACTAAAGTAAATAAATTTTATTTTACATACAGATTTAGGTACAGCTCTTTTAGGTTCTACTGTTCTCCCATCAATTTTATGTGGCCGTGCTGCTTGTGCATCATCAACCATATGAGCTGCAGCATAAGTTATAAAACCAAATCCTCTAGAGCGTTTGGTTTGCTGATCTTTCATAACAACAACATCCATTATTTCACCCCATTGTTCAAAATATTTTTTAAGATTTTCATCAGTTGTCTTATAATCTAAACCACCAACAAAAAGTTTACGAAGATGCTCTGGCTCTCTCTGGAAAAAAATTTTCATTAATATTTAGGCATTCAAATTTATGTTGATGAATAATTAATTAAAATCTATTATAAAATTACAATAATATATACATATAGTGTTTAGTTTATCATAAACTACTTAATTCTCAAAATAAACACAATATTGAAAAAATGTTTTTTTTAGTTACATATATATCTTGATTTATTAGATAATAATGTAATTAGGAAAATGACTGATGGATAACAATTTATCGCCAAGCACTCTAAAAGTTTTCTCATATTTACACCATCAACTGCATCCATTCTCACCTTCAGATATATCTTTAAATTGTTAATAACTTATTTATCAAATAAGTTAGCAAGTTATGTAAGTTGCCATTTAAAAAAATAAAATTGACATCCCTTTAAGTTATAAGGGATGATTCTACAAATCAAATTATAGCTTATAAATTAAGAAAAACATGGCATTAAAAGAAACCAAAAAATAATCATTCTGTATATTTCTTAATTTATCAGCTATTAATTACTCTTTAACATCATCTTCTATAACTTATTAGAATGTAAATTAAATTTTTTTTAAATAGCAATCTACATATTTAACTAGCTTATAAAATAGGAAATTATCTAATTAAGAAAATTATGGATCAATAACAACTTTTGGACCAATTCATTAGAAGTTATGATGATTTTAAAAAATAGACTAGGGAGAGGCTCAATAATGCTCAAGGATATAAATAGTCACATTTATACCTTAAAACCAATTTTTTTTAATAATATATTTATTTATGAGAAATTGAGTGGTTGTCTATATCAAACGGATATTCCTGTGTCATTTATTGGTTTTAATATACTTACTTTGTCTAAAATTATTTTTTAATAGAATATCAAGTTATTTGAATACAAATTTATAAATATCAAACTTATACTAATTACTAAAAATTATATAAAAATACAATAAAGTTTATTAGAAATGCCTGCATAATATACTCTGTCTAAATTAAAATATGCTGTTAAAAATTTAATAGCATAATGTGTCTACATAAAAATGTAGATACTACTATAAAAAAAATCTCAATAAAAATACTTAAAATAAATTATTTTTATTAAATAAATAAATATATAAAGTTATTTTACCATTATGTAAGCTGATGCGGCAACAAAACACAAGGTGTTATAATAATAATGAGTAGCAATTTAGATGTACCAAAGAAAAGTACAAATGAAAACAATTGCTTACGACTGACTATGTCAAAGGTTAATAAATAATATATTTTGTTTCTAAAAATGATACAAATTAAGTAGATCACAATGATAGTAGCAAAAAGTAAACAACAATTATAACGGAACTGTATATATTATGTCGAACACAAATAGTAAATATTTAGACTTTCAGCTGCCGTCTACGTCATGAAAAATATCAGAGAAGATGCATCTTGTGCATATTAAAATAGTGATTAGTGATTAGTGGGAGCTAAATAGAAACATCATTGTCACGGAGTAAAGCTTGAAAGAAATGAGTTCATCTAGTGTGACCAACGTAGGATACTTTCAAAATTCAGATGCGCCAATTCAATTAATAATTTGTATGTTGACGGTTAAGAACTTTTAAACTTTTGAGATTATACTTCTAAAATTATCAAACACCAATTGTAGCGTTATAAAATTAGCATATGATGTCCAAAGAAATTACTTTTGAAAATGATTTTGTTAAAAACATGAATTAGTGAATGATAGTTCAACCACCTGTATATTTTTTGTTAAGATGCCGATAAAAAACTTATTATCATAAAAGGAAAAGATTTATGGTTGTCCAGACTCCAGCGGAAGCCAACTTGACTGAAGTTGATATGTAGTATTTTTATTAATCGTTCGCTGACCTTTCCTGCACAAAATTTCGTGTTTCTTCTGTATAATCTGTATTTGTCATTTTGGAATTTCTCATTTAAAAATTATGGAACGATTAAAATATTAAATATTGATATTATGAATAGTATAATCAAGTGTTTAAAATTATTATAATATTTAGAAAATATTTAAATAATGTATACTTAATTCCAAAAATGAATTATATGTATCTATGGATTTTAATATTGGTTTATTTAACAAATGCTGATGGTAAATAAACTTATACCTTTGTAGTGTTATTTAAATATTTTTTTTTTTTAATCAATTTTTAATTGAAATGCAAATTAACAGCATAATTATGAAAATAAATAACGTGTATTTCATGAGTTTTTATTTAATTAAATAGTAACTTAAAAATTAAAAAACTATGAAATTGAGTCAGGTGAATTATTTTTCATTAAAACTTTAACATTCATTTATTTACTTGTATTTCAAATTTTATTCAAGATATTTGATTAAATGAATGTAAAGTTAAAGCAAAATTATTTTTAGTTAATTAGTTGACCCAGCTATAAAAAAAAATCAAATTCTGTGAATTAAAGTTTTGATTGTTTTTCAGTTGAAAAATGAATGTTTTATTTACTTTTATTTAGATCTAAAATATGTTCAAATTTTCTTTAATTGTTAGAGTTAATTCTACTTATAGCTACTTATATATTTCATATACATTATTATATTTTTTGTTTTAATTGTTGCTTTTAGATTTACCAACATTTATTAATTACATGCAAAATGAAGCACTATCGGAGAACATTTTAGTTGGTCAACAGATATATACTCTATTAGGAATAAACTCTTTAGGCTCTAGTGATGATTTAATATATGGAATAGAAGGAACTGATAAATTTGCTGTTGATTCAAAATCTGGCATTGTTACCTTAGCAAAACCATTAGATCACGAAGTAAAATTTTATAAAAAATAATATATTATTAAAAATGTATGGGTTTTGTTATATCTGTTGCTTTTAAATCTTGCCTATATTAAAAAAGAAAATTATATATATATAAATAACAATTTTTTTTTGAATATTTTGTTGAGGCTAGATAAAATGTATGACTAAAAAAGGTTCTATAAAAACTATTTGTACATTATAATATTTAATTGTTGAATATGTTCTTAGGAAAACAATGCATTAACATTTAGTATAACACTGAAACAACAGAATTCAGGAGATATAGTTCGTATTCAAACTACAGTAATTGTATTAGATGAAAATGACAATGCTCCTACCTTTAAAAATTTGCCTTATGAAGGTACAGTGAGTGAAGAATCTAAAATTGGATTAACTGTATTTAAATGGATACAGGTTGAGGACTTAGATCAAGTTGGCCAACCACTTGAAGTTAGATGTGAATCTAGCTCTCCGGTACAACTTATAAATTAATGTGATTATTTATTATTTATGAATCTCTTTTTTTCAGAATGATGGATGCTTAAAATTTAAAATTGTATCAGAAAATATTAGTGAAAGTTATTATAGTGGCGCTCTAGTTGTGAATGAAAAAATAAAATATTCAGAAAATCAATTTTACCAGTTAACAATTATTGCTCATGTAATTATTAGATTACATATATTTAATTTGACTTCATACTAAATATTATACTAACATTTAAATATGTTGAGTTAACTTACTGATAAAGTATTATGTTATAATAACACAACTATTATGTTACTATTCTCAAATATCTACACAACAAATGAAAAATTTCCTTTAAAATAAGAATATAGTTAGTTTTTTATCATTTAATTTACTTGAATTTTACAATCTAAAGAATAAATTAGAAATAATACATTAAATCTCTTGTTTCAGTAAGGAATGTTTTTTACTTAAATTTAGTTTAGACTAAGCTTAATTAAGAAAAATGTTATTATTGGTTCAAATCATAAATAACACAAATTACAAATTGGATGTATTTTAATGTGAAATAATATCATATTTAATATTATTAAAACACAAACCATTAAAAAACAAGTTTGATTTATTTTTAGGATGGCAGCCATGTGAGTAAAACAACTTTAGATATACATGTTAAAGATATACAGAATATGCCACCTGTCTTTCATGGATCTCTAACTAGTGTTATTAGTGAAGATATAGCAGTTGGAACTCATGTTCTTACTGTTAATGCAAAAGATGGTGATAGAGGAGAACCTAGAGGCATAGTATATGATTTAATCCAAAGTAATGTATTTTTGTCTAAATAATTTTTAGTAAAATTTTAGTTACAGTTAAAATGAATTTATAAATAACAAATCTATCATATGAGTTCAAAATATAAAACTTCTACTGTGTTAATACAATCAAAATAAAATTATATAATTTGTATTATCCTTATAATTTATAGTTTTGTATTTGAAAAATTTATATTTTTTTCTATAATTATATAGAGTATATAGAGTGTTCAAAAAGTAAGAAAAAGATCCATTTTTTGCAACAATTGACTAGTTTTATTAATTTTTAAATATTCTATATAATAAATTGTCCAAAAATGTTTATCATTATGGAGTCATCATTAGTTCAATTTGAATTTTTTTTAGATCCTATGGATTATTTTTCTTTGGACAAACAGTCTGGTGAACTCACTACTGCTAAACTTATTGATCGTGAAACATTAATGAATAACAATGGTATTATTACTTTAACTGTTAAAGTAAGTGAATTTTATAATTTTATAAGTTAGAAATTTATAACATAAATTGTGTGTGTTATTAAGGCACAAGAAATTTTAAATGACATCCCAATTGATGATAATATAAGTTCAACTAGTGCTATTATTACTATAACGGTTCAAGATGTAAATGATGAACCGCCAAAATTTAACAAGTTAAACTATTTTGTGAGTGTACCTGAGAATATAGCACCTGGTACTCCTTTACCTAATTTAAACATGACAGTTTCAGATTCTGATATTGTAAGTATTGTACTGTAGTTCAGTAATACATAAGTTAAATTTTATTGTATTTTTTTAGTATAATGCAAACATTATTTCACTTAATATATTACTCGTACAAAAAAAAAAAAATTTAGATTTATTTACTTATATGATTATTAGATAATTAGAAATAATTTAAAAAAATCATATTTTAGATATCTTGTTGTTTTTGAAAAATTTAAAAAGTATATTAAAACTATATAACTAAATAGCAATGCCTAATATTAAATTTTTTACTCCTAGAACTTTTATTTGGATAAATAAGTATACGTGTTACAATTCATCAATGAATTAATATATATTAAATATAATTCTAAAAATTAATTGTGAATTAATTTTGTTATTAGGGTACAAATTCTGAGTTTTCATTAAGTCTTCTTGATGAATCAAACTACTTTGTAATAGATCCTCCTAAAGCTATTGGTGCTACAGATGTAAGCATAAAACTTGCAAAGAATATAAAATTAGATTATGAAGACCCTAATCAAAGGAAGTTCATTGTTTTGGTAATGATTAAACTAAAATAAGAGTTATTTTTTCAAATAATAATTAATTAATATCAAAGAATCAGAATAAATACTGAGGGTATCTTTATATATTAATTTATCTTTAATAAAAAAATAATAATGTTTTTTTAAAAAAAGTGTCTTTTAAGTATACTTAAAATAAATTAATTTATTTATCAAAAAATAAATAATTTAAATTTAGTAATTTAATCAATTCAAAAACATAATTATTTTACTAGGTTAAAGCTAGCGAGACAAGTGAAAAATATAATTTATCATCAACTGCTACATTAGTCATTCAAGTCACTGACATAAATGATAATTATCCTGTTTTTGATAATAATGTGTATACATTTACAATCAATGAAACTGCAGCTCCTGGAACAATAATTGGAATTGTTAAGGCTAGTGATCGAGATAGTAATTCATTTATTGTTTATAGCTTAACTGGGCCATCAGCAGAAAAGTGAGTATAAAATCTCAAATTTTCCTAGTCCTTTAGACATTTATATCTTTCACAATATACATTTAATCAAAATAAATAAAAAAGTTTGCTTGTAAAAGCATATTTTTAAATTAAGATAATGCATTTATTAGTGTATTTTTTATTTTATTCTCAAATTTACTACTTTATAGTACTCATTCAAAAAAATTCCCTTTAAAAATTTTAATGGTTTTTAAGATAAACAGATATATATATATTAAATACTTTTTAATATTGAAGACTATAAATGATTGAAAATAAGTAACTAAAAGTGAATATAAAATTTTATTTTCAGAACTTTCAGAATCTATATCATATTTTTTTTCTTCCTCGTCTTTATAATAATAAACCTCCATTTGATACGATCTCCCACATAATTTATGCACACACTAGTAATCCTCATATCACCCCTAATTATATCCAATTACCTCTTTTTGGTCATCTTTATCTTCTTTGGTTTTTTCTTTAACATTCATTTCTATAACTGTTTTTGTAACTAATGATTTCTCTCTTCTCATAATATGACCAAGCAATCTAAGCCTATTTTCTCTCATATATCCATAATCATTGTTTCTCCTATTCTATTTCTTACATATTTATGTCTTATATTATCTTTTCTCAACATAGTTGGTCTCATTACAGTATTCTAGAACTTACTTCTAAGCTTCAATGAGATTTCTCTTATCACACAAAACATCAGACGCTTCTTTCCATTTGATCCACTCATACTTAATTCCTCACACATCCTTGTCAATACCACCATTGTTTTGTATAAATGATCCTAAATATTAAAAACTCCACTTCACCTATATTTATTATCATTACTCTCCTCGTTTCATCGCCTTCATATTCTTATTCATCGTAATCATACTCTATATATTCCATCTTCTACTATTAAATCTTTAATACTTTTCCTTTAAACGCCTATTTCCAGATCTTAAGCCTTTAATTAACTTCCTGCCTATTTTCTTTTATTAATACTATGTCTATCAAGAGCAAGTATAATATAAAATTAGTAAATTAGGAAAAAATTATATTTTTTACGTGTTATTTAAAATGTGATAAAAGTCATGCATGAGCATGACTTTAATTTATCCTTGAATGTGAAATAAAATTTTTTTCAATTAGTATTATTAAAAAGTATATCCACAATAATAATATAAAAAAGAAATATAGTATTTATATTTAAGTATATTTTTGTATGTATAACTATTATTTTAAAGAATATTTTTTAGAAAACTTTCAATAGAATATTTGCACCGTATTTTGTCTATTTTATGAGATTATTACTATGATCTTTACATATAACAGAGACTGTTTTTAAAACAGTTATCTTGAAGGAGGTTGAATAGGAACAATCTTAAAAAATAATTATTGACCAAATTTATTATTAAAAGTTGTTTCTAAGTACTCTTAGTGTTTTTCCAATTATACATTTTAAATTCAAATTTTTAGTTTAATTATTTGATACCAAGTATTTCAATTTAAAACAAAAATAATGAATTTCGAATTTTAATCCATTATAAAATTTTAATTTTAGGTTGCTCTTTTTGTTTNAATAATGAATTTCGAATTTTAATCCATTATAAAATTTTAATTTTAGGTTGCTCTTTTTGTTTATTTCAAATGTTTCAAATAGTAAATTATTGATGATTTATTTGAAGTATAATTTCCACAACAAAATTTACTATTTTGTAAAATATATTGTTTATAAAATATTTTTTATTTTTTTTAGATTTTATGTTGATAAATTGACAGGTACCATTTCTGTGGCACTTTGTTCTGATGTTGGGAAAGCTATGTGTCTTGATTATGAAACCCAGTCAAATTATTATTTAACTTTCATAGCAACTGATGATAATAGTAATGGACAATCAAGTTCAGTTCCAATTATGATAACATTGTCTGACAATAATGACAATGCACCAGTATTTATGCAACATTTATACACTAGCCTTGTAGATGAAGGAGCAGTATATTTTGAACCTTCTCTTATTGTTCAAGTAAATTTATTTTAGATTTAAATAACTTAGAAATAGTATATTTAGTTAGCAGGATATTCATTTCTATTAATTCATGTGAGTTTGGTACAATATGTAATAATAACATTTTTTTTTTATATTATGACATTTTTATAAGATATATATTGTTGGTTAAAAAGCTAAGCAGAAGTTATATTTTAATCTTATGGGAGAAGCAAAAAACATTTTGCATTTGTTGCTGTAGAAACAGAATTGATATCATGTAATTTTTCTCTTGTTATTCTAATATTCATAAAAAGTAATATTTTTGAAAAATATAATTTACAAGTTTTTACCACTTTTATGTTGCTATTTAAGGGTTGAGCCTAAATGCCCATCAATGATATTCTAAGTTATTAATGGGGGATAGCTGGCTAGGCTATATCAACCTTAGGTACAGAGGTTTCCTATTTAATTTATACTCCCTTAGAGAAACTAAGGATCACACTCCATATATATATATATATATATATATAACACTCTTGGTTAGTAATGATATGAATATTTATTAAGTAAGAAATATTAAATACACAATACAACCTGCTAGACACCTAGAGATGATAATAATCCAACAGGGAGCTGACGATGATACACACACACACACACTATTTCTGTGTTAGCTAGTTTAAGTTAAATATAAAACAAAAGAGTAATGGTCGCGATGGTTTTAAAAAGTCAACTGCAGTTTGGAACATTGGTATTATAGCACAGTGGCTGTGAATTACAAAAGTGTTTATGTGTGTAGTCTGCCTCCTGTAGTAATACGTGTGTCAATGTGTCAACGTTATAAGCCTAATCGGCAGTACAATAATGTTGTGGGATATGATCACGTTTATGTGATCGTATCACTACATAGCTGATGATATAAAGTGTGTAGTTGTTAGCATGGATTTCTTCAAAGAAATTCTATCATTTTTTGGAATTATTTGACTAATTTGACTATAATTTTTTTCTGAAAATAAAGTGTATGTTTTATTTTTAATTGATGAAATTCCTTAGGCAACTGATGCTGATAAATCTTCTTTAATTACATACAGTATATCTGGATATGGAAGTGAATTGTTTAAAATTGATAGCAGTAGTGGAGAAATATTTATAGCGTCACCAAATGGACTGAAAAGATTGGAAAATGACAACATTACACTATCTGTTATTGTAAAATAATTTCATGGATAATTTATTTGATCAACATATTTAATTTAATTTAAAATAAATATTTTATATTTAGGCAAATGATGGTATATACAGTGATGAAGCAATTGTTAATATTATGGTTTTAGACATCAACAACAATAGTCCAAAATTTTTGTCTGATATGTATAATGTTTCTATATATGAAAATGTACCCATTAGTTACAGTGTTATCAAAGTTGAAGCAAAAGATAATGACATTAATTTGAATGCTAACCTTACTTATTCTATACTAGAAGGCTCATTTAATCATTTTTCTATTGATGAGTTAACTGGAGTTATTTATGTCTCATCAAAACTCAATTATGATCAACATTCTAATTATGTTATTAAAGCATTAGCAATTGATAAGGGTACACCTGCTCTTACTGGAAGTACAACTATTACTGTTAATATAATTAACATTAACAACAGAAACCCAGAATTTATTCCAGTTATTCAGCGCACAGAGGTAATAATTAAATCATTTTTTTCCAGACCTTAAATTAAATTTTTTATTTTATTTTATTAGTATTTAATAATATAGTTTTTAATAGGTTCTGGTTATTTTACGATCCATATTTTTGTGTTTTGAGAATTAATGTTTTTTCAGTTTTTTGGGTGTATATCATACTGACCTAAATTTCATTAATATTAAATAATATTTCCATGTTTAATGAAAAATTAATGCCATAATACATTAATTCCTTTTTGTATATTTAAATAAATTATAATTTATTTTCTCTATATATACATAAAATGATATTGAATGTTGATATTTTGAGTTAACCCTAATATTAAATATAGAGTTGAAACATTTTCTTAAAATAATAATTCAGTTTTGAAAAAATAGTTTTATTGGTAATCATCTGTTTGGGTGTGTTCCATCCACACATGATTTTAGCTTCGATGCGAAGCTGAGAAGGTATTGGTTTTACTAAGATGTGTTTTTTTTTTTTTTTGTGTCTGTTACCACTTTTTCTCAGCTCTCACCGAACCGATTTCTTTCAATGATACGTCAAAAGATCACAAATCGTATCTAGTCGAAGACATTACCCTTAAAAATTGAAAAAATTTCCCTCGTTCCCCGTAAATGGGGGAAACCTCCAAAAAAATTACAAATTTAAAAATCGCTAATTTTCGAAATTTTTTCAATTTTTTTTACTAAAAACTGCCGTAACTTTTTTAAAAATGAACATATCAATATAATTCTTTCTTTTATAGATGCATGATGTGATTACCTATCATTTGGTATATTTTTTTTATAAATCTGACTTTTTACCTGCCCACAGGGGGGGATTTAAAATGACAAAAAATTAATTTTTTCAACTTAACTTTTGAAAGTGTTTCGGAAGGTCTGACACTTTTATATATATCTTAAATTAAAGCTAATGTAATATACTTTATCATGAAAAAAAAAAATTTCGGACTTTATTTTATCTTCAAGGTGAAAATGGCTACCAAATGCTATTTTTGTGTGAAAATTTTCGATTTTGTATTTTACATTTTTAACTTTATTATACTATAACTTTTTGAAAAATGTATGGATCAATATAATTTTTTTATGGGAAATACTATTTTTTAATATTCCTTTTTTCATTCGACATACTTTATCTTAATCAGGATATTAATAAGGAACTAGCAGTTTATGAAGCTTTTGGAATAATCCACCAATTTTTTAAAATTAAACACTATCTAAAGATTTGCATCGAAGCGTTTTTTTTTTTGATAGTGATTTTAATCACTGTCAGATATCATTTATACTGGACCCAATTATGCCACGTCACCAATGTGCCGCGACCCCCCTGTGCTGGGTTTTTTTTTTATTTATTTTTAATAAAATTTAATATTTCATGATAAGGATGGTAAATTATGATTTTCAATGAAAACAATTTAACTACTATTTCAATAACTTAGTAATTGTGTAGGTATCAGAAGACGTACCTGTAGGAACAGTTATCTATCGTTTGAATGCACAAGATGCTGATATTAGTGATGTAAATGCTTTAAGTTTTTCATTGAACTCATCATTAATTACTGGAATTACTAGTAAGGGTAATCAATTAGAAGACAATAGTGTAGTCAAAGAGTGGTTCAAAGTTAGACCATCAAATGGCGATGTAATTGTTGCTAAATCAATTGACAGAAATATAGCAGCTGTTGTTAGTTTATCAGTAATTGTAACTGATACCTCTGCGCCAGATGTACAGCAATCGTCTGGTAAGATATAAAGAGGTTGTATATAATTATGACATAAATGGATTTATAGACTTTAGGTCCACTTTTTTTTTGTTCAATGAGATATAATGACCAATTTTTTTTAATCCATTAATATAAAGACAATAATTTAATTACTCAACAAAGAAACAAGTCCATGATCAGGGCACTAATATTTTGGAATTGAACTTATTCTGAAAACTTTAAATGCAGTAGTGTACCTATACAGGTGTCCCGTTATGTTCTGATATCTTTAATAACTTTTAATCCTGTATATACTCAACTTAATTTTTGATAAATTTATCGAAATACTCCGTCTTTTAAACTAATGTTAAATTAAAACTCATGTTACATACTATAAATTAAAAAAAAATTGTACCGACACTTCTTTTCTATGTGCAAATGGCAGTTGAAGTAGGATAAAAAATAGAAGTTAATTTTTCTTTTGGAATAATCCACTAATTTCTTAAAATTAAACACTATCTACAGTTTTGCGTCAAAGCATTTCTTATGATAGTGATTTTAATCACTGTTTAATATTTAATTAATTTAAATTTGAACTAAATTTATTTTAGTTGTGGTGTGTAGCTAAAAGGGTTTTGGTTTTATTCTGTTCTTTTTTTTGTCATTAGACATTAATTACTACTGAACCAGTATTGCTCATTGATAGATCAAATGATCTTAAATTGTATTTAGTTAAAGTACATTAAAGAAAAATACCCCAACAATTATAGTTATTATCAAATAGTCAAAATTAATACTTTTAGTTATATACTCAATATTGAAGTAACTTTTTGAAAACTGGACAGATTATTATAAAAATTTGATTGGAAATAATTTACAAATTTACCTTGTTAATGACATACTTTATTTTTAAAATTCAATCATTAATCAAAATACTGTGTGACTATAAATCATTTTTTTTTTTCAAATTTTGATGTTCAACAATACTTTAACAATACTTTTTCAACTTATTTAAACCTACATCAAATTAAAGCGAATACAATCTACTTAAATAAAAAAAAGAAAAACTATCCTAAAACTTGATTTCTAGAAGTTATGGGATTTTTTAAACAAAAAATCATAAAATTTTCATTAAAAATAGCCAATTTGAATTGTTTTGAATAGTAACACTATTCTAAAATATATAATATTAAAACTTATTTAAAATACTATATAATAAAATGAAAATATTTTGTGACTTATCTTTTATGAGTAAGACTCTATAGTCAAATATCATTTTTTAATTTGTTTTAAGAACACATCAAAGTATTTTACAGTGATTTTAATAATTGTCCTATATTAACTATGCTGGATCTCTACTGTACTTAACATTTTTTTCTATTTTATATTTAAATAAACTTTGGATTTCAATAATGCATGACTTTTTAAACAGAAAATAAAGCACAATTTTTAATTTTTAGTGTAAAGTTTTGTGTTTAAAATATAACAATTAAATTCTAATAGTTCCTGTTTTTATTAATTTTGAATTTTTAAATCCTTATTTAAATTTATCTTAAAATGTTTTATTTTAGGTACATTAATGATTAATATAATGGATATCAATGATATTGCTCCAAAATTTGACAAACCTTGGACAAAAGAAAATCCAATTTTGAAATTATCAACTTTTGAAGAACAACCCATTGGTACTATTATTGGAAATTTTGCTGCTCATGATGATACTGGAATTGACTATTATGCAGTTTTACCTGTTAATCAATATATAGATGTTAACCAATCTACAGGTATCACATGTTATTGATTTTATTATGATTAATATTGTATTATAATATGTATGTTATAGAAATTTAATTATTTTTTTTTCATTTTTGGTAATTCAATAAAATGTAATAATATCCAAAAAAAATAAGGTAGTAACTAATTTTTTCTTACTTTTGAAGAAATAAAAATAAATTTTGCTTTTCAGTGTAATTTTTTACTGTACTAATAATTACAAAAATAATTGTAAATTTTAATTGTTATATGTGTAATTATACAGTAGTATAATTTAATTCCAATAATTCATTTAATAATATTTCTTTTTAAGTTACTTATTTGCTGTGCTTTCCTATATAATATTCTAATTATTGTAATTATTTATTTATAAATTATTTAAAATTAAGAAATTTTTATGTTTTTAGGTTCTCTTTATATAAAAAAAAAAATTGATTTTGAAAATATTGAAACTATTAGCATAACTTTAATAGCCTATGATACAGGATATCCACAACTGTCATCTTCTGCAATAATTTCAATACAGATTTTGGATGTAAATGATAATTATCCAATATTTAATCAGGTACTTAATGATAAAACAAATTTATTTCAATAACTTCAAATGTATATTTAAATAAAAGTAGTATTTATTAATTTTTGAAAATTAAGATAAAAATATTGATTTACCAAAAAACATTCTTTTATGTTGTATTTTCCAATATTCACTTCTATTTATATTTTTATTCAGGAAATAGTCAATATATCACTCATTAAATATTTTTATTTCATTCATTGTAAATATTATTCCATTAAAAAATATATACATTCATAGTTAAAAAATTTTTTTTTCTTGAAGATTCTTGAAATCTTTTTGAAAATGAGATAAAAAAATTAAGTTAAATTTTTATGCTGAAATTAATGTTTGATAGACTGAATATAAAGCAGAAATTGATGAAAACTCTCCTCCTGGAACATTTGTTACCAAAGTATTTGCTACTGATGCTGATAAATCAACTTTTGGTTTGGTACATTATTCAATTGTTGGACATAGTTATGGACTTTATATAAACCAAGATACAGGAACTATAAAAGTTCATAACTCTACCTATCTCAATCGGGAAGAAATTCAAGAAATAACATTAAGAATACACGCTAATGATGAAGCTCCTCCAGAATTGTCTAAATCTGCTATTGTTTTGGTATTATTGTCTTATCAAAATTTCAGATATTGGTTTGATTATAAATGTTATTTATAATGTTTAGTTGACTGTAAAACTCAGAGATATAAATGATAATCCTCCACAATTTGATCCTAAAGAATATTACTTATCAATAATTGATTCAAATCCCAATACTCCACTTATGCAATTAAAAGCTATAGATAAAGATATTAATTCAAAATTAGTTTATACAATTGTATCAGGAAATAAAGGTAAATTAAATTTTTTTTTCATTATTTTACTTAATAAAATTATTAAATTTATGTTAAATAGATTTATTCAATCTTGACAAAGAAACAGGATTTTTATATCCAACACTATTGTTGAATGGTGTAAGTGGTATACAAATTGTTGAAATTGATGTATTTGATGGTATTTTTAGAGATTGTGCAAGTATTAATGTTACTATTTTGGATATAAATCAAAATCAACCAATTTTTGTTCATCCACTGAATTCAACATTGTTAATTCCTGAGGTTAGTTATTTATTATTAGTTGTTACCTCAATTCCCTATACTAGATCATAATTGTACTTTTTATTTATTTATTAAAAAATATGCAAATATGTACTTATTGTATTTGTTCTACATTATAAAAAGTTATTTTTATCTAAAAAATAAATATGTGTTTTAGAATATTAGTGTTGGTACATTAGTTCTTACAGTGTGTGCTGAAGACAAAGACTTGGGAGAAAATGGTCGTGTGACTTACTTCTTTAAAGAAGAAAATAATAATATTATACAAACTGACACTTTTACAATAAATCCAGAAACTGGACAAATCAAGACTCAGATTTTGCTTGACTATGAAACAAAATCTTCTTATGAGGTATGTATACATTTATACAGCGAGAAATTTACTATTTTACTATTTGTTACTTTATTATATTAAAACTATGCATAATTGCTATAATAAGTTTTTAATTTATTTTTTTATAAAGTTCACATATTAAAAATATTTTGCTATTTCATGCTATTATTTTTATTGTCCAGTTAAAATAGGGGCTTCATTATAGTGATAATTAAATATTATAAAATAATTACATAAAAATGAGTAATAATAATGTTTATTTCCAACAATATATATATAATCATGTATAATCCATATATTATCAATAATAAAACAATTATTGGTTTAAATCCAAAGCCTTAAGGCTGTGCTGGTGATAAATGTTTAAATATTACTCCATTAAATATTATATATTAAATAACAAAAAATAAATCCTTGAAATTATATCAATATTACTAATATACACTTTTTATTCCATAGAAGAATTATCCCAGTTTAACAACAGTATAAAATTCATTAAAATTGGTATCAATTTAACCCTAGTTTAATATGTAAATTACAGAATATATAATATATTATCTATATATATATATATATTATGTTATGCACATGCTGACCAAATATAGTTCTTAATTTCAGTAAAACTAAAATTACAATTTCTTTTAATCGAGTAGTATAAATATAAGCTTTATAATTATTAACAGGTTTATACTTAAAAGTGGTCCTACAAACAAATAAATAATAATTATATTTTGATTTATTAAATTTTTATAATGAATTAAATTAAAAGAAAATTTGTATAATTAATGCCATATTATATAATTTCAATAAATTAATATAATAAACAATTATTTTAATTGCTTATATCATATTTAAATGTTAGGTCTATAGTTTTAAATTTTGGCAGTGGATTATTGCTATAAAATATTTTATCTTGTAAATTAATTCTTCTGCCTTCAATTAAATTTTTTAAAATTAATTAGCAACCTTTTTATTTGAATAAGATTTACAAAACAACCTTTGATATGACTTATAATTTTGTTAATTATTCTATTAAATATATAGAACATTCATAAAATTTTTGAGATATTGCAAGATGAAAATTAGTATCATTTCTTGTATACTTCATATACCTATTCTTTTATCAGAGGCAAATCCAGAGTTTTTTGAAGGACAAACACAAACATTCTTTAGATGTCAAAATTAATTTTTTGTTTATTTTCTTGTTTATAATATATTTTTTAAACAGCCAATAACAGTTTCAGGAGGGTGTGGGAACCTTTTGCACCTTCCTCCTGGATTCCTTTTTTCTTTTATACCAATAATATAAAAGGCAGTGATATCATTTATTTATAATTTATAAGTAAATAATTATTTAATAAAAATATTCATTGTTGAATACAAAATATATCTTGATTATTTTATTTTTCATTTAAATTTTAGTTGGTTTTGGTAGCACGAGATCAAGGCTCTCCATTATGGCAAGAATCATTAAAAGTTCTTAATATTAATTTAATTGATGTTAATGATAATAGACCACATTTTTCTGTGCCTAATGGCCATAAACCTTTGTATACATTCAAAATTAAAGAAAATAATAGACCTCAACATAAAATTGGTAAATTATTGAAATAGTTAATTGCTGTAATATAATTGTTTTATATCAGGCTTATCAAACTTAATATTTAAATTTTTAGGTCAAGTAAAAGCAACTGATTTGGACCATGGAGAAAATGCACATATATTCTATCATTTACTTACTCCTAATCATATTCCATTTATGATTGATCGCTTGGATGGTACTATATATGCTAATGACACTTTAGACAGAGAAGAACAAAGTTCATATGAAATAGTAGTTAAAGCTTCAAATGATAATATTGAGTATCAACATACAAATGTAATTTTACATGAATTTTATTACTTAAGACATTATCAACTTATTAAATAATTCTTTTTGAGATTTTATAGATTAATATTCAAATGTATATGTATTATTATAGGATATAGAACTAGATGACTATAGTTTAGCTAAAGTTTTGATCATAGTTACTGATGAAAATGATAATACACCAATTTTTCAGTCAAATCATTACTATGCAGGTAAAAAATAAATTTAAATTCTTACTATTTATATTCAATAGTTTGAACTCTACTTTTTTGTAAGTACACAAGAATAGAAGTTGTTGAAATTGATTATCATGTAAATTGAATTATATTTTTTAATTATGGGATTTCATTTTAACTGTTGGACTGAACACATTTTTTACATCATAGTATATGATTTACTACTAAATAAATTTTTTAATATTATATAAATTATATATATTTTAATTTTTAGGAGTTAATTCTATGGGAAAAGTTGGAGATGTTATACTTCAAGTGGTAGTTAATGACCCTGACTCAGAGGAAAATAATGCAGTTAGTTATAATATTGAACATACACAATTATATAAGCCAGGAATTGAAAATATAACATGGTTTTCTACATTAAAAGATCCATTTACTATTGATTCAATGGGTCGCATATCTACGGCAGTATTTTTAGCAGAGTATAATCAAGGTCGATTTCTTTTGCAAATTGCAGCAAAAGAAACTGTAGCACCTTTCAGAACAACCACTACAATAGCATCAGTACATTATTATACATTAAATATTATTAATTAAAAATTTTTGTAAAATATGAACAATTTTTTAGGTATGGGTGTATGAAGTACAACAATTAGTAAAATTAATAGTTTCAAGAGCGCCTCAGACTGTTAACGAAGGTCGAGAATCAATACTACTGAATTTGGCTAATGTAACAAATATGATTGTAGTTTTGGATGATGTTAGATATCATGTAAATCAATATGGGTATATTCAGCCTGATTCGAGTGATGTATACATTCATATGGTTAATCCCTCTAAGAACTCTATTATGTCAAGTGGAGAAGTACTTTCTATTATTGATGATAAATATGATTATTTAAAAGATTACTATGAACATTTCGCCATTGAAAATGTTGTGGTATGCATTTATTTAAACTACTATTCTATTGAATAGGACTAAATTAATTAGAATCATTGAAATATATTTTTGTTAAAATTTAGCCTGTATTATTTGCTACTCAATCTGATTCATTTGAACCTACAATAGCTGCATTAGTGGCATTAATTGTTGTATTGAGTGTTGGTTGTATCGGGGTATTAATTATTTGTTGTTGTTTCCGTCATTGGTGAGTACTTAATAAGAAATTATAAATTGAACCATAAAATCAGTATGTTTTATTATAAATCAATATTTATGTATTTTATATAGGATGTTTTCTTCTGAGCTGGATAATAATTCTATTAAAAATGATATTTTAATTAAAAAATCTGTCATTGATGATCTTAGCACTACAGAAAATCCTTTGTGGATTGAACAGTAAGTAAAAGCTATATTTATTGTATTACAATTTTTTCTCTCTTCTTTTGATTAAGTGATATTTATAATTTAATTATATAACTGTTAATGTAACCACATGTATTTATATTATATGATATTTCAATGTTGGGTCATTTATTTTTTTTTAGAAAATTAAAATTATATGAAGAACAAGAATTGACAATGCAAGTTTTTTGTGATATAGAAAATAAGGATTTGCCAAACAATCAAGATAGCATGGTAAATTATTATAAATGTTATATATTAAAATTATGTTTCAAAAATCTTTAAAATGTATAGGGGGACAATACCTATGCAACTATAAGACGTCCATCACGTCGAGGATCTATTAATACCCTTTTGACAATGACCACAGGAGAATATGCTACTTTAGGAGGTTCAGTTTTACCATTACCTTTAGATGGAGCAACATCACATAGTCAACAAGTATTTTTATTGAAATATATTATTTTAAATATATATATTTATTACCTATTTTCATGGTATAGATGTTTGAAGCATCCCTTGGATTTCAAGGATCTACATTTCAAGTTCCAGATTTAACGTTGGATACTAGTAATCTTTTAAGGAGCAATTCAGATATTTAATATTATTGAAAAACTACTTTTTGGTTGAATTTGGTATTTAATTACCCAAATCAAATATTTTTTATTAATTTTATCAGTGCCAAGTTATAAAGTTCAATTTTATATTTTTATATATGAATTCACTCTATATTTCTATTATTTATTTATGCTATCCTAATTTTTTTCATGCATTAACTATTGTTTATTAAGATGCCAATATTTTTTATTGAATCATCGATAAGACTGTTTTTGAATTAAAATTATTTTAAAAATTACTAGTGATAATACTAAAATTTATTTTATGATATCCGTCCAATTATTAAGTTATATAGGAATACTGGTGTGGTATTTAAAAACTAAATGGTTTATATATTTTTTATTTGTAAATGTGTGAATATTTTAATAAATACAGTTAATTTTTTCAAATAAATATGTATTTTAGTTTTAGATTTAACTTTTCAAATATTAACAAGGGTTCTGAATGTCAAAAAGTTCATATAATTGTTTTCAATAGATTTCAAGTGACTATTGGTATATATTTGCTAAATTATTAGAATCATTTAAAATTATCTGAGTCAATATTATGAAATTTGCTGTTTATTTACGAATTGAATAGTTCTCTATAACAACAAAACAAAACTTAAAATAGATATTATTTAAAACCAAGTGCATTTGTTAGTGTTTAATCAACTTACAAACTACAAAATGATTGGTCGGTAACTTGAGACTACTATTATTATAATATAGCGGGAGTAATGTGGATCAATAAGCCTATAATTAAAAATAACACTCATCACTTTCAGTCTTTACATTAAAGAGTTGATAATCTTCAAAAAGTGGTTTAAAATTTATTAATGAGTCATGTAGTAGCACTGGCAAATGCAAGGGGAGGAGTTGAGAGTTGAAACCCTCCCAAAATTTATAAGATAAGTGACAATTTTGGACGATAAACAATAATAACAGTAAATAAGATCATATCATGCTATAAATATTTCCACAATAAAGTAATCGAACACAGGAATTTTGGTGAGCGAACAATATGGGCAGTGTCACATCTAATTTTCTTTAAATTTCAAAAAACCTCTCCCAAATTTAATTTCTGTGTACGCCACTGTGTAGTAGCTTGTAAGTTGGTTAAACAAAAATATTTCCATTTAAAAAATTAAAGTTGATAACATTTTAAGAGGGAATAATTTTTTGTTTTAATTGTAGAATGTAGGATACTATTACTTTTCAAAACGAAAAATTTATATTGCATTTTATATTTTTATAGATATTCTGTGAGTCATATTTAAAGAATCGCTCTGTATAGGCATTACACATCAACTTAATTTAATTATTAACCAGTTGATTTTAATAAACCACTACAAAATGTTATATATTTTTATGAGTTCAAAGATTACATGTTCAAATATAAATTATGGCTAAAAGCTCTCTAACCTACTAATATAAATTTGAAAGAAATTCATCCCCGTTGGTTGTATATATATTATCTTGTGAGAATTTCTTCATTTTACAAGTTCTTTAGTCTCCAGTTATTAAATATTTTAATAATTTAAAAATACTCTTGTAGCACTACATGGATTTTCAGAAAATTTACTGTATTCAGTTGTCAAAATAATTTTGAGCTAATTTTGAAGAGTTACTCCAATATTTCACAATTTATATAACATTGAAAATTTAAGTTTAAATTTTTTTTCATAATGGTAATAAAGATATTTATTTCTCCAATATAATAAAGGAAGAAATAAAACTTTTGACCTTCAAGCTATGTTAGAAGAAACTTATTTAATCAAAATTTAAATAACCTATATTATAAAACGTAAAAATCTTGAATAAAAGCTAGGATTGTCTCACTAATACATTTAAAGGATAACAAAGTAGAGGGTGTGACAGACACAAATTAAATTTAATTAAGGAAAAGTCAAAATTTCGACAGTCAATGTTCTTTATTTTGAACATAATAAACATAAACCATAGAAGAAATTATTTTGTGTGGGTGGCTTGGGCTTTTCTCATTTGTAATAAAATGTTACTTAGTTCTTCACGCTTCCTCTTGGCTCTTATATGTGTTCCCAACTGAAAAAAAAATAAAATAAATCATACATACAGAATTGAATATCAATTAAAAGTAATACTATACTTACACGTCGCTTTAAGAATTTTAATGCTCGTTTATCCTTAGAAACTTTCAACAATTCCATTGCACGTTTTTCAAATGGAGCATGTCCCATTACTTCCCTTACTACATCTCTAATGAATTTGTTATGTTTTGTTAATTTCTAAAATTAATAAATAAATAAAAGAAATGTTAATTCCAGAAAAAGAAAAACCTTAATAATATGAACCCAGTTAAAATGACCTAGAACTTAATAAAAGTCTATTATGTAACACCAATGATTACAAAAATTAAAAATATATACTTGTGACTAAATAAAAGATTAGTTCAAAACTACATTAGATATAGGGTAAAATCACCAGTAAATAAACAAACATAAGTTTTTATATAAAATTTTTTTTAATCAATTATTATAAGTTGTAGTTAGTAGTCCTTACAAAATAGAAAATATCCCAATTAAATCCTACTATATTATCACAATTTTTTATACAATATCATAAACTGTTTTCACTGGAAAATTCAAATTTTCTACATAATATAACTAAAGCTACTGTATTAGTTAATAATACATATTTTTATAATGATAGAATATTTATAGAGAAAAAATATTTATTAATTTTTTAAGTGTGGAATTCAAATATAAATAATTAAAGAATTTTAAAGTTTGTTCTTTCATTGGTAAAGTCACCATAATACCTAACAAAATATTTCATTTTTAAATTGATAAAATATTGATAGAGATGATTTAAACTGCAGTAAAATAAAAAATATACTTAATAATACTTACACCTTTAGTACGGGCTTGGCGAAGTTTTTCACTTTTGGATGATAATTCTTTGCCTACTTTATTAACTCTTTCAATCTTAGTAGTTTTATGACCACGTTTCAAACCGACAGCTAGCTCATAACGAGGAGCCATTTTATTTAGAACCTACAAAATTTTTTTTAGTTTCATTTAAATGCTATATAAACTGCCACCAAAAAAAAAAAAAACATTAAATTTGATAAAAATTATCATTTTTTCAATATTTGGTAATTTTTTTTTTTTTACAAATAAAGCCTTGATAATAAGGGAACCATTGACTATTACTAGGGAATATAGTTTTTATACTAAATTGATTTAAAATTGATTAATATTTTAATAGAATTTAAGAAGAGTCAAACAACTTAGAGGTATAAATTTAAAGTTTTATTATTATGTTTTACTATATTAGAAAGTCATAATAGAATTAATAATAATTATAAAATTTGTTTAAGATTTATAAATAATATTACCTGAAATTAGATTGACGTGGATAAACTATTTGAATTTTAGAAATTCAACACACTTAGGGTAAACCGAAGACAACTCTGTAGAAATAAAATGTAGATAAGTACCAAAATTGATAATACTTCGCTTAAGGTTATGATCACGATTTTGCATTATGTTCCATAATAGTTTTACTTCCATGATATATAGCTACCAACATTATCGTAATAACATCATTAGAATATCCTGAGAAAGTTCGTTATTTAACAATTTCATTACCTGTCACCAGTTTAAACATTCTTCTTAATTTTCGATTTTCTTAGAAATCAATTTTTTAAATTAATTTGTATTCTCTTGATACTTACCCGAAGTGATACTCAACATATAATTTACAATGGAAGAGGTTTAATCTAAAAAGTACATGATGTGATATTACGCTCATTCAAGTATTACAAAACTGACATTGGTCAGGAATAATAAACATATAAAAAAAATATATATTTAAAGTTCAAAAACAATTTCTTTTTCATGAGGTTCTTACAATTAAAATCTTAAAGTAATTAAGATATTTATAAGTAATTAAAATCTAAAGTCTTAAAATAAGTATTATAGCTATTTTTAATAGTCTTTTTCTTGTTAATTTTAATAGGGTTTATGAATTGATTAAAATGGAAATAAGAAGTTAATGGTAAACTTATTGTAGACAAATTATAAGTAAATACTCAGACTTTTAGAAATGACGTTTCTGATATATATTAATAATATATCGATTTCTAAAAAAATTGTTCTATTTCAAAATTGGTTTGAAATTGTCAACAGTTAAAAATAGATATTTCATTTTTTATTTTAGTGGCAGATTGTATGAATTATTGATAGAATATGTTAAACTCCTATTGTAAATTAAAATAATACAAAAAAGAATTTCAAATATATCCTTAAATTATAAAACAACAAACCCGTATTTAAAAAATTTATCGCAGAAATAAAGTTTTCTGCCTATTGACAAAAATGAAAGGGAGTTTAGGATTACTTAATAATTAATATTAAAAAACAAAGGACTTTTCTTATCACCTCCTTTTATATAATATCTTATAAACTTTTTTTATTAACTTGATTGCAAGTGAAGCAATGAAAATTTTTTTGAAGCTATTTAAAAATTAACTCTTTTACACATCCATAAATTTCCACAAAATGACATGTTTAGTATAATAAATGTCAGTAATTTTGTGAAAAAGGTACTAAAATAAAAAATAATATAAAAAAATTTTAAGTAGTGGTATGCCAGCAAAATTTTTTATCATACAATTTATATAAAATATGACATTGGCACATTTTTATCATTTTAGTTATTAAAGTTTGGGTAAATTTTACTTAAATCATACATAAAATTCCTTAATTGTAATATACATAGATGTTAATTTATTCATTTTTTTTATTGCTCTATTATATTAATTTTTTTTATTTAATTTACTCAAAATATCAGTTATCTTATGAAAATAATAGATTGGATATTTTTTTAGTGTTATAATTATAATATTAATTGTTGTAAAATTTCGATAGTTAATTATGAAATAAAACTTCAAATTAAGTAACATATTATTTTAATTTTTTTGTAACATTTAAATACTATTACATAAAATTAATTATACACCACTATTTTCTAAACATCTGCTTATTTTTAACACATACTTTATTTAATAGGAAATGTTAAGTATACATTGTAATTAAAAAAATAATAAGAACAACATTCAGTTTTAATTGCATAAATACATTAATTCATTTACAAAGTGCAAAATATAAATTCAAATTTTAATAATGATAAACTAAAAATAAAAAAGGAAATAAAAGGTATTTAATTTAGCTGTATTTAAATGATTGGTCTAAATAAATACCATGAATTAATTATATAATGTGAAATAAGGGTTAATCATAAATACTCCAATAAATTTATTAATATAGTTCTTTAAATTTAAAAAACTGTATATTATGTAATAATAACTGTATAACTGTTTTTTAAATGATTAGTTATAGTTTTGGATAGTATCTATCAATCACAGTTTTCNTTATTTATATTATGTAATAATAACTGTATAACTGTTTTTTAAATGATTAGTTATAGTTTTGGATAGTATCTATCAATCACAGTTTTCAAGTAATAAGTAATTTTATGAAAAGTTTACACATATTTTACTAAATAAAGATAAATGGCCAAGTTACGGCACCATGTGAAGAATAAGTCAGAACCATTTCATCCGGAAATCAAATTATAATATTAATGATAGGTCTTTGGATTTATGACTCAATTTTTTTTAATGGATAAGGTAAAAAAAATTTCAGTGAAATAACAAACAAAAGATGAGTAATAATGATTTATAAGAATACAATAGCTTTTTAATTGTCGTAGTTCATTATTTTAATACATTTTTTGGATTCAGATATTTTTTATGAAAATTATTTAAAAGAATGAGCTTTGATTTCCTATAATTGAATCTGAAGATAAAAAATTGGTCTGACTGAGAGAGGATCTTCTGGACTATCTTAAATATGCCATTGATTTCATAGAATTGATTCCAATTTAGTTTTTTAATATCTAACCAAAGTAAATTCAATTATTTATTTCCAATTAAATTAAATTAATTTTATTTTGCAATTACCTTAAATAATTTTTATTTTCTTTGAAATACAAAATCATTTTCTCGACTAAATACAATAAGTCAAGTAAATATTCGGACTCTAGAAAAAATAATATCCCTGTTGAATTACCATTGACATATGCAACTTTAAGTATGTTTGATTATGTCCGAATATTTACTTAACTTATTGTAGATTACTATAAACAAATAAGGCCATGTTTAAAATTAGGGAATTCTTAAACATCTAAAATTCGTGACCCACTTGGAATTACCTCTCTGTTGCATGTCCTCTTGCCATATATTCTCGGTAGTCTCGGTTCCGCTACTAATTATTTATTTATAACTTCATAGTTTATTTTAGATTCGATGTTATACAAAAATTGTAGTGTTTAAATGTTATTTAAATAAAGAAGTTTTCTATCTTCTATAATTGTTTAAGATTTGTAGGTATAACTAGGTATTTTATACACATTTTGGTAAGAGTCAAATTTGTGTACTTGATTTGTTTAAAAATTTAGTATGAGTGTTTGGATAAATTATATTTGTAATGTATTAATTTTAGTTGGTATAAACAAAATTTGCAATTTCTGTTTTTTTGTTGTCTTATCAACATGAATGATTCTCAACTCTGTAATACCATAATAGTTGGTCATTAAAATATTTTTATTTCTAAAAATCTATGGGATAATTTATAATTTATTGATAGTTAACTTCTAAATTAAATAAATTACAATATTTAAACAGTTTAAAAATAAATATTCACTTTATGTAGTAACAAGTTTAAATGAATACATTTAAATATATAGATAAAATATTATTGTCATATTATATTACTTTTATTTTTTTAACATAATAGATTATTATAATTTTAATTTAATAGATTTAACAAAAACATATTTTTTTTTATTGCAAATAAAAACTAATATTTTTTTTGTGATATTAAAATGTGGTAGGTGTGATGTGGTCTATAAAATATTCTGCATCAAAATCAATAAATAATTCTGAATTAAGATAGAGAGATAGTTAAATAGATTAAAAAAAAATTTTTTTAACGTATAATAATTAATTAAAAATGTTTATGAATCAATAATAGTTCTGATAAAAGTCTAATATTGTTATAAATAAAAATAAAATAAAATAAATATTTACAATTATGAACTATTATAATCTTTTATTACAATGCAAGTATAGTTATATTCGAATTGTACGTATGACTCGTGCTAGTACAAATTTAACCACGCTAAACTGTTTATTTAAATTGATTACTCTAAAACTAAGCTGAAATAACCCTTCTTTAAGTATATAAAAATGTATACTCTGTCGACCCACATTTTAAGCTCCTGTTTTTAATGCCATTAAATGTTTGAAGTAAAAAATTATATTTGGTCCTATTATTGTTATTCTAATTTTTACTGTTAAAAATACATTTTTAAAATGTGGATGATAAAATATAGACGCATATCAATGTGAAAAGAATGTGTTGGTTCTTAACTTCAATGCAAATCCATAAGCATTGATTGTGATAACATATACAAAGGGTATTATTATTTATTATATTTGATCATTGATACAAAAGAACTTTAATAATTTAAATTAGTATTAATATTTTGTTAGCTACTATGAGAAAAGTGAGATTAATTCATGAAAAAGTTTTGATTCAATACAAAAAGCATGATGACCAGCACGAGTAATTTTATAGTTATTTGACAAAAAGATCTTTTAATGATGAACAAATTGAAGTGTCGCAAGTGCGAGTAGTCTGTTCGTTGGTTGTTTTTGTTGCTGTTTTGCTGGATGTCGGTTGTTCACCCTCAGCGTGAGAATTTTCTTCGCTATCGCCAGAATTTTTAGCTGCTAAAAATCCTTCAATAGCAGTACCCAAAACCTCAGCATTAACAACTGAACCTGTAGGTTTGTCCCATAACACTATGTCAGTCTTCTTTTCAACGGACTGGGCTGCTTGTGGTTTTTCCGTTTTGCATGATACGGGTTCAAGCAAAGACACTTTTGGTCGTTCATCAGCAAAAGTGACGACTACCGGTGATTTTTGAACATAATCCGAACCAACAGTTATAGATTCAGGGCATTCGACGTCCATTGGTTGTCGACATGTTGAACTTTTAGTTGAAATTTTCTTGAACCAATTACGTGTACCGTTATTTTGTAAATTAGCTATGTCCACACTGTTGGATCGACCCGACCTCAAAGATTCTTTGCGACCGCCAGCCGCTGATATGCTATCCGTCGTCTTACTGCCCAGTCGACCTTTCGTTAACGCCTTATTAGCTGACGATTTCAGAGAATTCATGATTGACATTAAATCCGTATTGGTACACACGATACCAGACGACTGAGATTTGATGGTCGGTCCTGGTGAGTCGGATGCACGTCTCCGGGGTGGTATAGGAGGTGCTAGTTTTTCGCAAACATCAATGTTCGAATACCTACGTGCTTCTTTAAATCTGAAAAATTAAATTGTTTTTCTAAATCAACACAAATATTCACTTAACATAAATAGAAAAATAATATAAATATAAATACGAATAATTATTTTTGGAAAAATACAAAGACATAATCGTTAAAAGACAATTCATTTTTCAACTATTGACGAACAGTTATAACTTCATTGACATGAGTTATTTCAACAACATTTCCAGTTGTTTCATCGGATGGACTAAAATGAGGTTTCTGAATGAATACTCCTACGCCTTTGTCATAAACCTATATCCCGTCGAGAATTAAATAGTTTTTATTTTGCACCGAACCAATTGGTTTTGTGATGATACGATCGTATTCGCAAGAAAACAAGTTATTTTCCAACGTTTCGTACCTAATTTACGGTGTTCGAAAAAATAGTTTTAGGAGAAAAGGCAATAAAAAATGAAATTTTGACATTGTGTTGGCACGTCTTCGAATAGTGGATTGATCCAATAAAATGGAATGCACGAATATGGCGATTAGGATGGCCACAGTGGGGCACAAATATGAATTAAATTTCTCGTCTTGAAAGACTTAAACAATTCATATATTTTCGATTAGAAAAACGATATAGTTTGAAATGTTGTCAATTTCATGATTAATCTCTGTCGGGTCTGTACACTTCATGCGCATTATCCATTTCAATTTTATCCATCTGGTGTCCCGTTCAGTATTCCGGGTGTAGTCGATCGTGCTTAGAATATTTTACGTCGGGTCAGTACAGTATTTAAGTATAAAAATTTATCCTATTAAGAGTTTTTGAATAGAAACCTCATTAGCGCATTAAATGTAATTCTATAGAATTACTTTCAAAATTAGTATATTTATTTAACAAAACTTTTATCAATATTTGGCCAGTAAAATAGTTATTAAATCAACAGTTTTTTTTAAATTTGTGTTATAAAATGAAATAATCGATTTGGTAAATTACATTTAATATTACAAATCATTATATTATCATTAATTTTACTTATTAAAAATAAGTATAATTTTTATGCTTTGTATAAATAAATAATATTTATTTAAAATTTGTTGAGTTTATTTAAATTTCTAAATGATAATCGTATGTTTTAATTATTATTTGTCAAGTAGATACCAATAAAACTTAACGCATGACTACAAAGAAAACACTTTCAGTGACAAAAAGGCTTTTCGTTTGAAATATATTACGATGTCGGTTATGTAAATTATGTTTACAAGTAATTGTAAACATAATTGCTAATAAATGCAAAACGTATTTTCCTATTATTATTATATTTTGTATTGCCGTAGACTTAATTATTCGGTAGTTGTTGATAATTTTAACAGTGTTACTATTTTTTAATTACTGCGTTTTTACTCAAATACCGACCCGGCAAAAGATAATTTGAATGTTTGTGCGTATGATACACTTTAGTTAAGATCTTGGTAAGACAAACAGTTCCTTTCGCACAAAAGTGTAATAATTATAATCTACTGGAAACATTCAAAGTAAATGTTGGTACCTGGACATTTGTGCGTTGCTACTGCCGTCTAATGGCTGTACTTCGCACATCTTCTCCTTGTTTTCGGTTTGCCACATTTTCATCCGAACTTTTCGGGCAGCTTTAATGTCTGCAATATCGTCCATAATGTCTAGCTGTAAATTGAACTGGCTTCCCGTGGGCGAAGGTGCAGCACCCGACGTGGAATCTCGGCGAGCGGGTCGTGACCCTTTACTAGGAAAAGAAGCTATCGACTCTCGGCGATTGCGGCCAAACAAAGGCATGGGTGCTTTGGATATGGTGATCACCGAGTGCCGACGTCCCGGGGTGTAAGGCCCCGGTGCTTTGGTAAGCGTGGCCAGGAAAGCTTTTTCTCGAGCAGCTGTGCCGGCTACTCCTTGATCGCTTAACCTGCGTACCTACAATTAATGCGAACAAATAAGATTAGATTACCAATTTTGGAAATTAATTGAACTGTAGGACATTAAATTTAATAAAACGCACCTGCCTTTGTTTTTATCCCTCCTCAATTTTCTTTTCACATTTATGGGAAAATATTTAAAGAACTTTTAAATTTAAGTAAAGTGACAGTCTATTAAAATGTGCTATTTTACATATTATGTAAAATGGAACTTTGATAATATTACTATCAAAGTTCTTGTGTATTATGAATAAAGGTCCCAAATGGCGTTTTCTAATAGTTTCAAAAGTTACATATAAACCTATTCGATATTATTCAAGTATGAAGTGGAGATCATGATCATCCTTTTCGGATGTAGAAATGTCACTACATAAATCCATACTACAGCCAATAGGTATATTCATGAATAAACCATGGATTTCAAGGTATAAAATAAAGGAACGCCTACCTACAAAAACGCTTTAATTTTTGTTCAACACTAAGGATATTAAACATTTTGTTTTATAAAATTTAATTTTGATTTTATAGGAGCTGTAAAAAAATATTATTGACTTATATATTAATATGTGTACATTTGTTAAAACCAAATATTATTTTAATGAATTATAAACCCAAAAAGTTGTATTTTAAAACAACGACAATTAAAAATTATGGTTCTTACAGTTCAACTAATTTTTTTCTTTAATTTTGGTGATTACTTTTATTTTTAAAAATATTAAATGGATAATGAACAATACCTGACTGGCAGTTATTCCAGTAGTACATTGTGGAGTGGGTAATGAACGTTTCCTCATGTCCCTAAACGGAGATAGAAAAAACGGGTCCTGTGGAAGGGTATCGGGAGATCCGCCTCCTCCTTCTTCCGTGTCTTCATCCTCTTCGACAAAGCAATTTTCTTGGTCTACAACGATTACCGGTTCCGATTCCATTTTGTTACACGGTTCTGCAAAAACCAAAAGATATGAAATTCTAATATTTTAACGTCCTGCTAAAAGCACGATTGTTTTATCATCTCGGACTTGGAGCCAGGATAATATAGTGTATTTAACATTACCGTGTACCTTTAAAAAAATAGTGTACGATTTGTCTATTTAGATCTATTGAGAAATCGATATGCCTTTATGCGTAAATACTAGGGACGACTCCGATACGTAGGTTTCCCTTCCTCCCTAATATAAGCATGGATTTTTAGAGAGGCCATTGTAGATAAATATATACTGAATAAACTATGGTAAAATCAATAATTTTTTATTAATATACATCCAATAATGTTTTGGTTAATATAAAGTATTTTTTTATTAGTTGAACCATTTTTTTGTTGATTTAATAAAATAATTGGTTATTTGATTAATTTGTTATTCTTTTAACAAAAATATAAGCAAAAAACTGATTCATTCAACAAAAATTTTATTGAACGTATTTTGATAATGCATTTATTGATTTAACGGAGGACTTTTTTAAGCGTAGTATAATAATTTAAAAAAAGTAAGTTTCTCTTACTAACTTGTTAGAGTGTAATAAATGATAACTAGTTAAGTTTTATTTATAAAGAAAATTGGTATATGTATATATACTTTATAACTTGATTAAAATTTTTGCCATTTTAAGCAAAATTGACTTTTTATACTGATGTATATTTTGTAACTATATTTTTTTTTAACATAATAAATTTATAAATATTGCAATCATATTTTTTTATACCTCTCAAAAATAAGTAAAACACATTATATGTAGTCTGGATTTTTTTTAAAGCAACCTATCGTATTTTTTTCAGTTTTCCTCATTTTATACATATTTTATAGCTCAAACTTGACATGACAGCTGTGTTATTCTAAATCTCTTACTTCTGTAATTTAATTTGAAATGCAATGTACGATTCCCATTCATCTTATAGCAACAAAATCACCAATGTGACATTTTGTTATTTATAATTTCTACTTTCATTTAGTTTTTATTTTACAAAATTGTAAAAATCTGTTCAAATTTCTTTTATTGGAAAACTAGGTAATCAAATAACCTTAGTAAACAATGAAAATTGAATACATTTTTAAAGGATAAAAAATGTCCATGAAGTCTTAATTTTTTCGTCATTAAATTACTGGTTTATTTTTATTGAAATTCTAAATGTGATAGTTATAGTAATTATAGTTTAATTATAAAATGAATATAATCTAAAAAATTTAATTTTTATTGTTCAATATTATTGTTCTCTTAGTTTGTGTGTAATTAGGTTTCGTATAAATAGTCTTTGATACTTCATAGTTCGTACAAAATTTAAAAGACTACTATTATGGTCTTTTGCGCTTTAACAAACAAATTTATTTTCAGGAATACTTCGAGTAAAAAAATAAGTTATTAAAAATAATATTTATCATAAAATGATGAAGCAATTTTCTTTACTCTCCGAGAATATTTTCTCAATTCACGCTAGCATTTATATTATACGATTTATATTATTATAACTATTAAATAAATAGTGTGGATAGAGATAAGAATACTTCCACGGCCCTCTGCCAGACGCAAGAGGCGACTAATGAGGTTGTGTCATGTCAACAGCTGGTGTAAAATTTTTGTCAAATAGTATGAGGTGTCCTGAACAAAACTTAGACGAATTGTCTCATCTCGGATGTACACGGGGACAACAGGTTGCTGACCCCAAGTAGTTGGGATTAAGGCGAGGAAGAAGAAAATTAAATAAATAAAGAAGAACTATTAAATAAATATATTTTTTACTTGAGTTAAAAAAAGAAATTCTGACGGTATATATTTTTAGGCTCATACGTTTTGTGTTTCTAACAAAATATTTACAAATTCTTTTGGTACTAAAAGTGAGTCAATCTATAACTTTTAAAATTTTGTGATATAGATAAAAATATAATATCTGTTTTTCAATAACACTTTTCAATGAGTTATAGCATTATAAAGTTAAAATTGTAATGTAAAATCTAGAATTTTCACACAAAAATAGCATTCGGTAGCCATTTTCACAATAAAGACAAAATAAAGTCCGAAAATTTTTTTTTCCAATATAAAGTATATTACATTAGCTTTAATTTAACATAAAAGTGTCCGAAAGTTCTACTTTCTATATGCATTTTTCAGATTTAAACCTCCTCAATTTTTAAGGGTAATGTCTTTGGCTAGATACGATTTGTGATCTTTTGACGTATCATTGAAAGAAATCGGTCCAGTGAAAGCTGAGAAAAAGTAGTGACATACAATAAAATAAACACATTATAGTAAAACCAATACCTTCTCAGCTTCGCATCCAAGCTAAAAAAAGATGTTTAAAGGAAATCATTTTTTTTTTTTGTTAATAAAGCAAACTCATAACACGTAACTAAGTTTTCAAATAATTGTATTGTAAAATAATTTTAAATTAAAATTTTTGAAAATTCTTTTTTTATTTATATTTTTTTTATTGTTAGAACTTTTTTTAACATTGAAATTCAAACGACGTTTTGGTGAACAAGTTTATTTGATTTTATATCTAAACTTATATTCAGTTATATTAAAGTTTTGATCAAGAATCGATACTAAATAACAAAAAACCAATTTTGTTTTGTAGCTAGATAGTAAATTAGTATTTAATATTTTATTTTTTAATTCAAATCTTTTCAATTTAAGTTAATGGTGCATAGAATAATACAAGTTAAGTATTAAAAAATGTTTTCTTAATTTATTTTATTTTGTTTTTATCCTATATTCATTCATTTTATTATGATTCCATTATATTTGATATTTATTTATGTAAATATTCTATTATCACACTAATGCTCACTGAATTTATTCATAAATTTATAGTTTTAAGTAGGGTAAAGGAAGTACAATTAGACAAATTAATTTTAAAGCCCTTATCTAAATTAAAGCAAGTTTTAAGACACTAATAAGAAATTTATTAAGGAGTATTAAAATATTTAACTTATATGGTAACACTGGCATTTTTTATTTAAGAAGTATATCTGTTATCCCATTGTGAACCGTTGATGGGTCAAATTAAGATATTTAACATTCTTTTTTATCACAGAATAAACCTGGAAAAAAATTTTAATTAGAAATTATTAGTCATTTAGTTATAATTTTTAATTAGTTAAAAATATAATCACTTAGATATCTTGAAAATTTCTTGAATAGAGTACTTTGTAAATTAAATATCTAATTGTGCCCCTCTATTCTCTATATATTTGGATAACTTTTTAATTTTATAAATATTTAAATAAAAATATGTTTTTGGCGTTTCAGTTAAGTAATTTAGTTTCTTTTTTTGTAAAAATTTCATTTCAAAACAACTATTTATTTTATATAGTTTTTTATTTGTTAAGTAAATTTAATGATATAAATTTCAAATTGGATTTTTATCATTATTCAGATTTTAATGTATAGGGTAAATGAATTACAATTTTAAAACCGATGGTATCATCTATTTAATGGTAAATATTGACCTAAGTTTTGTATTTGTATTTTAATAAGTTCATACAAAAAGTATAAAATGAAGTAACCTGTGAATTAGTTTTACAATCCAAAGTTTACGTTAAATACCTTTGAGGAGTATTATAAAATAATATCTATAGGTATAAAGAAAATAAAATATAAAGAAATTAAATAACACTCGTTAGAAAAGAAATTTTCTTTGTTGACATATATAAATATGTCTTATAGGAATGTCAACTTTATTTAATTAATTGGAAATATACATATTTAACTAAGTTATAAAATATAAAATAATGAATTAAGAAAATAATTGGTCGATACTACTCTTAATATTTCAAGTTATTAATATTTTTATACCTAGGCGTGCGGAGAAATAAGACCAAGAAATATCTAGAGATAAAATTAGACATTAATTTAATTATTTCCCTTGCTGCGAATAAAATATTTTTTAAATATATCCATGTGTAAAAGTCTGTATCCGCTGAAATTTTTTCAATTACTCATGCATGTCTTTTTGTCGTGTTCTTTCAACTTACAAATTTTATTACAATGTGGCCGAGTTGGTAACGCGGCAGTGTTTGATGCGCACTGTTTCGGGTTCGAAACTCGGTCACGGGCGGCTTCATTTGCCGAACGAGAGATAATTTCAGTAATTGGAAACACCATCCCTCTTTCCGGAGTATCAATGGTGAAGACACCTTATCCTTTGGGGAGACCGCTATGGCCCTTAAAGGGCATTAAAAAGCGGAAAAAAAATAACTATCATTACTTTTATTGAGTATACGCTATAATATAACTCTTGATAACTTGTTAAATGAAATTATTTAGTTTTATCTCACTAAAAAAAAAAGAAGGTATACAATGTGTATGTAATGTTCAATAGTATCTCATAGTTTTGTCCAAGTAAGTTATCAAAGCACTGTTCTGAAACTATGTCCTAATGTCTAAACACTTTTGTAGCCCTGCAGCGACCACTGAAGCTTATACGTGTAATAGCACAGAGATGCAATACTTAAATATCATGCACGTATCCTATGCATGTTATGTTATTTCAAAAATATAAAATAAAAATAGACAAACACGTAATGTACTGAAAGTGAGTATATAAACATTTTATACACAAAAATCACATTATTACATTTTTACGATCTTCGAGTTTCTTTTCCAGTAAGTACTAAACATATAAGCTAACGTATAATAAAGTAAACAGATAATTATATCAGATATTGAAATTCACAACGTATTAAAAAAATACCACTATGTATTCGGTGTTTGATAAAAATTGTTTATAACAATTTATTGATTAATAAACAACTGTCTCATTTTTTTTTAATTAACAACTAATTTAATTATTTCAATACTGTCATCTTATGTTTAGTTTAAAGAGTTATGTTCATTTATAAATTTTATATTATAATAAAAGATTTACAAGAATTTAAATGTACTGTAATTTTTAAAAAAATTACATTTAGCATAGATTATAAATCCTAATAAAACACAAAACAATTTATATAGTTGTAATAAAATATATTATTATTAATTAAAATTTTGGATTCGTGAAATTAGCAATTCATTTAATAAATTTTAAATTTGAAAGAATACGACAAAAAGACATGCATGAGTATAGAAAAAATTTCAGTGGATACAGACTTTTACAGGTGAATATATATAAAAAAATATTTTTTTTTGTAACAAGGAAAATAGTTAAATAAATGTCTAGTTTTATCTCAAGATATTTTAGATATTATTGTAAAAAAATTTTTAATCATACAAAATCAAACTAATTTTATTTTAATAATAAAACCAACCCAACTTTAAATATTTATTTAATGGTAAACATTTATTGTGAATTTTTATTATTGGCAGCTAATTATAGAGCTTTATATCTTTGTTCTAACGAACATCGCGCTGGCGAACAGAGTTAAAGGTAACAATTTATTCATTTTAAACTGAGACTTAAAGTAACTTAATAATAATTTCATTGGACCAAGTGTATTTCAATCCTATACTTATTGAGTAACTAGACTCTGAGCTTAATGTCTTTGTTTTAACGAACATTGCGCCGGTGCATAGAGCAAAGAAACTTACGAATATATTTTTAGTGTTTAATTTTTGTCTAAAGAGGTACCATCAAATAGGATTTTGCTTCAATAAAATGTGTCCATTTCAAAGCATCTCTCATTTTTAATATATTATAGAGAAAATGAAAAACGCTTTGAAATTGACAAACAAAAAATTAGAATATTATTGTAATTTTTTATGTGCCTGTAAATTTAAAATATAAACAATATTTTTTAATAAACCACTATTTAAAAAAGTTAACAGTTGGTTTCATGATTAATATTATTGTTTTAAGTTTTGCAAAATAAAACTCAGTACGTAATCGAAAATTTTGTTTCTTTTAAAAAGGGGGTTTTAACAATTTCCGACATGCACAGAGAAGGTAATAAAAATGTCAAGTTCCCATCATAAAATAAGTGTTTTATAGTATTTTAATTGTTACAAAAGTCTTTGGAACATAAACATCAAGTAAAACAAATCAAAATCTTATAAATGAAATTGATTTATTAGATTTAATGCTTAATATAAATTTTGTCATCTTAATTTTTTGTTGAAATGAAATTAATATATTTAATTAAATTACATTTATCGAGTAGCATCACAAATTTTATATATTGTATGACATGCTTGTTACCTGATGATATTTTATACATAGTAGCTTTTTATATTTTTGGCGTATATTATTACTTAATGGTTCTGATTCAATGTGTAAATTATATAACATTCATAATGTATAAGTCTTATATTATTTATTGCGTAGTATATACTCTAGTTAGTATCTAAAAAGTTTACTTGGCTACGAAATGTATAACTTACCTTTATAATTATGTAGCTTTAAGGTATCATCGGTTTATTTTAGTTATTACAAGCGGAATTATGCGTGCGTTAAATATTTATCGCAACCATAAATGCTAAGTTCTTAGAAGCAGATCATTCCAAATAAAAGCTCACTGAAAAGCACTATTCAAATAACAAAAAAACAAATTCCGTTAAGTTATAAAGTAAATATTCTTTATAAAGAGAATACACAATGAAGTTTCATTGATAAATGGTTTATGGGAAAAGTATAAAAATGAAAGAAATCTATTATTTAAGTTTCAAAATGAGAAAAAAACTACTGTCTTTTTTTTAATTGTATTCCAGATAAAAAGCAAGTCACAAAGATCTAACTATTTAAAATTTATTTTACAGTTAGTGTTCGACTAATTATATATTTTATGCTCCTTGAAATTATATACAATGTAAAGTATCAGAACATTTAATATTTTCTGTCTAATTTGGTGTTTTTCGTTAAAACTATTGTAAATCTTCACGACACTCATTTAAACTAGTACTATAGATATTATTTTATTTGAATACGCGTGTGTTTAAGGGATAGAATAGAGCTAAAAGTATTTATAAGTATGTATTATATAAGAAACACAACGTTTATCGATTGATATGAGAACAGAACACTTGTATTACCTTTATTACAAATACAATAGTTGAGATACTTAACAAGTTTAGCCTGAATAATTAACATCAACTATTTAATGATCACTTATATATTATTTAACTTTTGGTATCCTTCTTCATTAACCTTACTATTTAATGAAACTGCGGTTGGCGATAAGTTTATTGTATTTAATAATTCTTTTCTTCACAAAAAAAAATTAATTCGAATTTGTATTTTTATTTAGTAGTTATTTTGTAACTATCTGAAAATTCCGCGATGACATTGAATTTACGATAAGAGCTGAATACATTGAACACGTGAAATAAAAATTTATTTTTCAACTAATCGATTAGGTTGACTGCATTTTCTTCTAAGTTAGAAAGCAATAAGAACTCAAAATAGAATAAATTTGGGTATATATTTAATTCAGAAAAGAAGTATTTTGTAAGAATATTTTGTAAAACTTAAATAAGACTACAGTTAACTTCCAATCAAAATCATGCGTTATTACATATTAGGATAAATAAATGCAAAATAAAATAAGAAATTTGTATAGTTTCCTATTTCTAATAATTAATAATTATAATAGTAATTCTAATAATTCTACATATTACTATTAAAATTTGCATTGCTAACTAAGACGCACTTGACAATTATTTCATAAAATGTTTGGAATTTGTGTTTTTGAATTGTGTTTCTATGATTTTCAATAAGTAATTATTGACATAAAAAGGAAATTAGATTAAATGTTGACGGGCAAAAAATTAAGATTATTTAGTAAAATTCTTTAAATAATTATCACTAAAAGAATTATCAATATTATATATATATATATATTAAAGTGACCCTTAATATATATGGGGTGGAACAGCTTTAACTGACAACTCATATAAATAATGATTTAAATGACATTTTAGACTTGTATTTTTAATTAGTTTTTACAGTATAAAACTATATTTAAAATATATTTTGTAATATTTTTTGTAGTTACAAGAAAATATTTTAAAAATTAATTGTTTTATTAAAATTTTTTTTTAATATTTAAAGGTAATCATTTTATAGATGTTTCAATGATAAATTTTGATACCAAAAACTCTTATTTTAATTCTAATTTTAATTAGTTGGTTAGGTTTTAAAAATGTTTGAAAATCGTATATCGTTAAGTAACTTTTCCAGCATTGGATAATTTTTCTAAGTTTTATTTTATGTGTTATTTATGTTTATTGTCAAACACTAATAACAAATAATAGAAAAGTTTTAATAGAAAATGTTTATATCAAAAATTTTTACTATAATTCAGTTGTGTTCTACAACATTTTAAAATTTGGATTTTTTTACGATTTTTCTATAGTACAACACGTTATTCCACGTATATATAGGACGGAAGTAAATATTATCTTTTTACAATATTTACTGGCAACAGTAAGTGTTTTATATTTCATGAAAAATAGTAACGTTTGAATTATGAGTTTTTAAATAAATAGGTTTATGTCTTAAAAATCTAAACGTGAATAATAATGAATAAGCACATTTATTATCAATTCTCCTAATAAGAAATACCCTATAACAATGTGATATCAATGGTAGAATTACACAAATTAACAATTAACATCACTTTAAACTTGGCCAACCATCTAATTAATATCTGCGAAAAATAACACAAAACATATTTTAAGAATAATCCTATATTGTAAAAACTGATTAAAACAACAAACACACAACATACAAGTGAAACTAATATAAGCGTGTTAAAAACAAGTATAAAATGTTATTTAGATCATCAGTTATATGAGTTGTTTGTTAAATCTGTTCCACTCTGTATATATTAAGGTGGGCCATAATCGTCAACTTTTTTATTTTAGCCGTCCTCCTCTACTTAGTTGGAAAATGAAAAAAAAATAAGTCTTACAAAAATTGGTTAAAATTGATTAATCCTAAGTCGTGTCAGAGAGTTGAATATCGGATCCCAAGGGTAGATTTTTAGTTTTTCTTTTTAACAAAAACTAAGGCTTTTATAGCTAAAATTGAAATAATATAATTTGTAAATAAAGTAATTTTGCCTATACATTTACAAGTTTTGTTCTTAATATATTATTTTTCCACATAAAGTAAATAAAATAAATTTTTTATTTATACGAAAAATTTGGGTTATTTTAATAACATGAATATATTTGACTTATCGTTCGTTATATAAAAGAGTGTTTCATACAAAATTTATTTTCAATAAAGATATTTGTACCTTTACTCATTCCAAGATTTAATTAAATATACATTAAAACTGAATCACAAATTAAAGTTACCAACTAAACAATAAATATATCTAACACTTAATTCTTTTTAAAATTATCATGTAATTAAAAAAATATCAATGGGTAATAAAAGTGTTTAAAAAATTATAATTTATAGCTGTAAAAATTACATGTAACTATAAGAATTAATTTAAATTAATATTGTCAATATCAATGTGTTTTTTTTTTGGCAATCACTATAACATTTACAATAATCATGAACACTTGATTAAGAATTGCTTTTGGTTTTCATTTTTGGTAATTTTGGGTATACTATTACAATTTTGTATTAATTTGACTCCTCTTTAGGCAACATCATTGACAACAAGTAACTGTGAAAACATATTTTTACCTTTTATATATTTATTATTTTTAGTCCAACTGTTAGGATGAAATTCTAAAAAAAAAAAACCAGCACAGGGGAGTCGCGGCACAGTGGTGACGTGGCATAGTTGGATCAAGTATAATGATATCTGACAGTGATTAAAATCACTATAAAAAAAAAACGCTTCTATGCAAATCTTTAGATAGTGTTTAATTTAAAAAAAAATGGTGGATTATTCCAAAAGCTACATGATCTGCTAGTTCATTATTAATATCCTAATTAAGATAAAGTATGTCGAATGAAAAAGGGATTATTAAAAAATATTATTTCTCATAAAAAAATAATGTTGATCCATACACTTTTCAATATGTCATAGCATTATAAAGTTAAAAATGTAAAAAATAAAATCAAGAATTTTCACATAATAATAGCATTCGGTAGCCATTTTCACCGTGAAGATAAAATAAAGTCCGAAATTTTTATTTCGCATAATAAAGTAAATTACATTAGCTTTAATTTAAGATATATATAAAAGTGTCAGACTTTCCGAAACACATTCAAAATTTAAGTTGAAAAAGTAAATTTTTTGTGAAAAAGTTGTCATTTTAAATCCCCCCCTGTGGGCAGGTAAAGGGTCAGATATAAAAAAAATATATACCAAATGATAGGTAAAGACATCATGCATCTA